TTAGTATTACATGTACATACTTTTACACTATTTGCGTAAAAGGAGCTGCCATTTTGTCGGGCAGTTTCGATCTGATTTTTACGAAATTCAAACTCAACCATCATCATGGTGTAACGATGATATATTGACATGGTTTTAAAAATCAGATAAAAATCATGACCTCTAGAGGGTCCAATAGCTAAAAACGTGTTTTTTTATATACAATTAGGGGCCATAATCCAGGAAGTTACTTCTACTGCCAATGAACATACCGAGTGCTATCACTGTACTACACCAACTATGTATAAGATGACTGACATTTTTAAGTTCATAATGCATTCTAAGTGTGACATCACATCACACGGTGCTATCATTGGTGTCAATAGCGAGTGTACTGTATGACGTAGTAACATAAACTGGTAAGGGCAGAATGGTGCCTTTTACTCATTTTACGCTTTCGCATACTATTTTATGTACCCATTTACACTAAATAGAAAATATTTTTTATCCAGATATACTTCAAACACCTTTATTTATTTTTCTAATACTTCAAAACATGTTTTAGAATTTAATTTGCTGACAGAAAAAAGTTAATATTGTGAGCTAATTAACTTGCATCGATGTCATCCTTTTCAATGATTATAGTGGCCTAGTGAATATTCACTGCTTATCAGTTTGGAACCGTACTACACATATGTACTGACTTGAACAACATAGAGATTACACTGTACTTCAATCTACTGTAGCATAATGTATAAGGTCCACTAGCCACAGTCTACAATCATTCAGATGCTTGTTGTAGTCTGTTCTATTTATAAACTACTGGGATTTCCTTTATTTTATGAATGGAATAAAATAAACAGTCTACATCAGCACAGTGGTATGTAATCATTAGAAGGGATAAAGAAAATCAATGCTCTACTCATCATCCTTATTGCTGAAAACAACAATTCAAATGGTTGTTTTGGTACTAATGCAGTGTATTACATATTGTAATTGTTCATGTACATGTAGGCCTACGCATAATTCCAGTAACTTCTACTGCCAATGAACATACCGGGTGCTATTCTGAAAATCTGAACTCTTTTTCACAAACATGTACATCTTAAGTTGGTCAAAAATGCCTTTGTATTCACATACTTTGCATGTCAGAACTAAATATGGTTGAAATTTATTACCGCATCATTCTACATGTAGAATTAGAAGTCGGGCTATTTTAATTAAATCTTTACAATTTATTGCTATTACGTACTACTAGACAGAATGAAAATATGATTTATGCATTTTCTAATTGTTGTATACCGGTAAGAAGACATAAGGTCCCTAAATACACGTTACGTATTCAACAGTTATGACTCGTATGAAAAGTGAATTTTTATATTAAGCATACATTATTCAAGAGCTAAATCTGCATATTGCCAGTCTTTCTTTAGGCATGAAATGTTATATAAACTATTAATTAGACATTTATTAACAAAACAAGACCACAATCGACTCTCGATGGCATCGGATACTCAAGATTTTAACTAGATTAAAACGGTTCGCCATTTAAAAATTTAATTTAAAAATGGGAAAGCGAGGCTGAGTCCCGATTATACCAGTGCCCTGGTTACCACTGTGCTCACATCTTGTCGAATCTGCAAACCATGATAACTTGGCTGAGAATGAAGTAATTTGAATAAAATTTTCAATATTTTCTTTTTTTTATCATATATTTTTGAATTATTATTGCAAGAATTACCAACTCTTTATTAAACTCCATTGTATCTTTAATCCAACAAAATAAAATTCATTCAAATACCGGGTACATGTACATTGTAGATTTAAAATTCTCCATTTGTAAATGAGAGTAAAAATAAAATTGAATTTCAAATGTAGTACTTTCTGCTATGGCAGCTATAAAGAAAAGTGTATATACAAATGAAATGAAATGAAATGGGATCCTACTGTTCTGTTTACGCTATACAGTGTGCTATGACTGAGAGAAATTTTGCCCGAACAGTAGCGCTACGGTTTACTCTGATATCAAATCCCAACTGCCAAGGGATCATTTACGTGCATGCCAATGTGTTCAAAGAATCTTGATTTTCCGTTCCATCCCAACGACTACACAGCTGTCCTTGTCAGGGCCTCCGCCTTGCACCACTGACAAGGGGAAACCATGTCGGCAAATCCCGACATCAAAATTACATTAAAATTAGTTCAATAAATTGTGATCACATGTTGCATGTATGGTGCACATGACATGACCCCCTTTAATCTATTAAATGTGTACTGCCAGACTATTATCTAATCTGGGAGATCAGGACTTTTGCGGATACATATATAGGAAATTTTGTTGTTTCTGTAGTGATTCATCTCATCTTTCAGCATAGTTCTTCCATTTCTTTTAGCATTACTTCCATTACTGTGTCAAAGGTCATGCCTAAAGTTTTTGAGAGTTAATATACTGATTTGAATGGATTCAATTCTTAAAATTTCTAATGAATTATGTTTGGTGCAATACGGGAAGTCCAAATTGAATGGTGTGGTTTGCGCCTGCTTTGTACATTCTACGTGTTGTTTTTTATAATCATTTTGTCATCTGTGAATCTGCCATTCTAAATTACTTCTGCATTGTCTACGAATATGTTTTCTTTGCTCATTACAAATGGTGCTTGAAAATATTATGTCCATAGAGTGCACGTCATGTACTGATTTTAATATGTTTTTCTTAAAGAAACTTTCCCAGAAAAGTATTTATCGGGTGGTTATTTCCAATAAAAGTATGGCAATTTTGGTATGGAAATTAGAAATATCCTAACTTACTAGAAAAATATACTGGATTCCCTTAAAAAAAACAACCATGGAACGCATACAGGACAAAAATGTAAGGGTTTCCCTAATTAGCAGTCCGACAATTAGGAATGTCTGCTCGCCTCAAAGGTAGCACGCAAAGATTGAGCGCTTGATGTACAAACTTGACGAAGAGCTAAACATACAACACTTTCTGAGATAAAAACCACGGAAAAAGACGTGGGCAGTGGATAATCCGAGAATTTAATTAGGCTTCGATATTTATGATTTATGGATAGCGATTAAAGACAATATCGTCTTGTGTATGCAATGAACTCTTCTCCGGCTTCGCACCCGTTGCTAGGTACATGTAGTGCGTCAGCTAAGTCACATAACATAAACATGACTTCTTTTAATAGATTTTTTAGGGTTGGGCGAAAACAGTGATTTGAGAAGGATTTGAAGCAAAATTTTGATAGATAAATTAGTTTGAATATGTTTTTAGTCCAAATACATCATCAAATCATCATCAAATCACCTAATTTGTATGCAGGAATGTATCTTTAAATATTGAATATTAGGATCTCATATTTTCTCAGTAAGATATGGTAACGACCTATAAGCTTATACTGATTGAAATAGACTAATATTGGATTCTAATTCATGTTTTTAATTTTGAATATTATGGCAAATATTGAGTTAAAGGGACAATACCACTCTTGCTGGCTTAACAGCTCCAGAAAATAAATAATATCCTTATCTAATTACTAGATGTTTTAGTGTCCTACCTGTTGTGCAAATTATCCATTACATCCTATTTTACTTGTCCAGAGGGTTCGAAAATATTTTTAAATCGAAGTTACATTAGGTTTACGTTAGAAGTTTCAAACCATTGAGTTGAATTTTTCCAATTTTTTAAATAAGGTGTGTTAAGATGAAATTTGTATCATCAATTAATTGAAATATTGTAAAATAGTACAATTTGTTGACCAGAATAAAGATTGGGACATATTATTCAGTTACAACAAGAGTGGTATTGAGCCTTTAAGAGATTTAGCTCCTTTTTAAGGTTGTTTTGTTTATGAGTATAACCCTATTAAAAAATGGCTAGCACTTTAACGCATTTGTTAGGCCTTTTTAATTTGAATGGAATCCAAGTCTGGAGATAAGGTTAATATTTTAATTTCTTAATTAAATGTTAAATAATCACTTTTGAGTACATATTAGAATGGATTAAGCTGTGGACAAATGCAAAAGGGCTTTAATTAAAATAATATTGCTACTGAATGGTTTTAAATCAAAGAAGAAGTGATACCTTCAAGGCTTTGCAATAATAATAAAAGGCCACAGTATAAAAATCCAAACTAATTTAAAGACTAGATCTATACTCAGTACCGTAAGCAGAATTTGATTTGTTATTAGAGTACTTACCTCAAATAATTTACTTAATTCTCAATCAATAACATTAATGCAATTTCGATTCAGTCAAATCTATTCATAATCGTATTAATTTAAAGCTTAAGGTCGTAAAATATCATAATTATTTACAATACTGATAAATGTAATGTTACTTTAATATTTAAAAATTTTCTCATGTTTACACAATAATTATATACATGTACTGTATACTTTTAAACTGATATATTGGCATGTAATGATGTAGAATCTGACATGCACCAGTTGACCTTCATTTCAACATTTTTAACAAGTTGATTTTTTTAATGGGCACTAGAAAAATATAATTTTTTATATGATAATTTACCAGAAATTCATAATAGTTCTAATTCTACTGCTCCATATCTTCTGAATTCACCAATGTACAAACCCACTTTATTTCTACACAATAACAAATATGGCGTCGATAGCTATAAAATCCGGGGAATGTTGTAGCAAAAAATGCAAAATTCAACATTTAGACTAAAAATCAAATTTATATCTATTGTGTTTACATACGATTTGGCTAGTGCACGTGTTAACTCTTCGTCGCAGCTACCTGATCGCGTAAACAATACTCCAGTTCAAAGAAACTCCACTGTATAACCCAGTCACTGAAAAGCCACCCGCAATCAATTTGACTTGAGCCCGGTAGACACACGGTAAAATATACCGTATGAAACCACATTCAAGATTCTTGCCGACAACAGTGTATTCTTTTAAAGCATGGAGATAACAGGCTATACAATACATACAACAATCATTATTTATATAAATATAAATGAAAGATAACATTGTGACAAAAAACGTACCTTTCGCCATCCACCAAGCTCAACTACACGGCGATAAAGACGATGTAAATCTACTTCGCGGCCTCCAAGTTTGGGTATCAAATCAAACTGGGTTCTGAAATTAATGAACAATATTTCAAGCTAAAGAACCATTTCTATACCGACATAATTACAGATACGCGAACTGTTAATCGGTTAAAACAAAAACGATTAATTACTTACCCTCTATTTTGATGAAATCGATGTAAATCTTCTATAAAACTACGGCGTTCTTCATCACATACGACGGGGTCTTTGTTCGAATTGTTAGCCATTTTGTTCCTTAATTTTAGCAAAATATACAATTATAAACTGTCTCTTCGCAGCCACTGTGTTCCGAAGAGTCGCCTACAACTTACGCGACATCAATATTTTATGGAAGGACACGCGAAGTAAGGGTATATCCTCGATATTTCGGGGATTCCACATAAGCTGCTAGCTCCAAGAGCGACTGACCAGTCCCTATGCATAAATCTGCACGGATTTGTCCTAATTCACCAATTTCTATCAAGAGACGGAGTTCACACGTCTATAGATAGCTAGAACATCAATAACAGAATCTTATAATGTTGTAATTTGTCCATATTTTAGTCCACACGCAAATTATTTCCTGAAAATTTTAACAAAAAACACATAATAACATGCCATAATCGCAATAGCGCACTAGAGGGATCCATATATTGTTGAATTGCCTCGATGCCGTTATCCAATATGGCGGACTCCATGACAGTTTATCCTTGTTTTTTTTTTAATTTTATTTGTTTGATTTTATAAGTATGTGAATGAAATTACATTACTGAGTTCTGTAAAGTGGTTTATGCGATAATAATTTGGCGGATTGCGAGCTAGTTTAAGAGAAAGCAAAGCAAGAAATATGAATATCTTTCTTTGCATAATTTGTTCGCTCAGCAATCGGTCAAAGAACGATAACTCCACTTCATTAGCATAAAACCCCACCCACTTTGAACTCGGGTTTTTAAAATTGTTTGCGTATGCTTATAAATATAATATAAAAATTCGGCACTATTATATTTAGACTTAGATCTGGCCATGGGGTCGTAAAAAGGACACGGTCAACTCCCAGGCCTATTTGATTAAATGCGAACAGTGTGGGGAAAATTTTTCCCGGACAGCGGCACTGCGGCCTAGTCTGAATTCCAACTGTCAAGGGATCTTTTAAGTGCACGCCAATGTGTACACGGCACCTCGTTTTTTTGTTCCATCCGAACGACTTGTCAGGCCCTCCGTCCTGCATCACTGACAGGGGGAAAATCTGGATGAACTTTCTAGACCAATGCAGGGATCGAAAACCCAATCTCCAGACTAGCGAGCCAGCGTCTTACCCCTATACAACATTCAAATATGCATCTGATAAAGGTCAATTTGCAAATATTTTTACGTTACCCGGTAGGTTAATTTTTATTTTACGACCAACGCTGATCGACACCCACCCCTCGGCACGAGGAATTTCGTTCCGACATGCCTTTGGGGTAGCCTACCGTAAGTTCAGTTTTTTGATTACTGTTTCAGAAAGCAAATTGAAAAAAAATATACCGAAAGAACAACAGTGATCCTGTTATATTTCGCAGACGGCTAAACTGTAGGCCTATATAGGCACTGTATATAGGAATAATATTTGTTGCCTTTATTTTTAGGAATACGAATTTTCTCGTAAAATCAGATGTTTTTCTTTCGTTTCTCTACAATAAAGTGAACTGCGAATACCCCTTATCAAAACTAGATTGAACGCATATTTTTACCTCTCATCCATGATTTCTATGATGTCTATTTCAGACCATGGTTGCAGAAATTTTATGTACTTCTCGAGAGACATTTTAACTGCACTTTACTCAAACTACCGTGGAAGCAGACGTTAAATCACCAGCAACTTTTATTCATACAACTATCTACCCATTATAAAACATAATATGTAATGATAAATGAACTCATTAGCCTAATTTTAAATAGTTATTTTACCCGTCTCTTTCAGTAATTTTCTTCTTTTTTTTCCTTTAAACTGTGGATGTCACATGTATACATGTAATGTGTTGTTCATAGGCAAAAGATCTACCGTTAGTTTATACTCCGCGCCAATACTATTATACCGGTTACAAATGACTGTACGTTAAAGCCTGCATGCCGGTTTGGATAATACTATTACATTTACTGTAACAACGATCAGCTGATCACGGTGAGCATCTGAGCTTGAAGCCAGGCCGCTATTTAGGGAAATCCCCGTTTATTGACTTTCTCGCGATACCAGGTTATCGGAACCGTAAATATAGCACAGAGTTTTGTAGTATGTAATCAATGTCACGTGGGCTGTCGCACTCACTATCGTTTCAATTTATGAATGAGCCCATAGTGCACAGTCTACCGGTACACATGACTGCACTGTTCTCATACGGCAATGTTTGTAAACATAACCTCTGTTAGTTTGTGATTAGTTCCCGGTCATTATATAATATATTCAGCCGATCAGTAATACAATACGACAGACTTTTTGCAAAGTTTAAAATGCACGTGTGTTAATTTCGGGCGGGGATTAGGAATTTTCTTGCTGGGGAGTTTATTTCTGCCCTTTTGTTTGGTACCATACGCATTTGGATCTAAGTATAAGTATTATAGTGTACAATTTATACCACAGCTAGTTCCTTTAGGAACTGTCTCTAATCGGACGATGTCCGCCGATCAGAGACAGTGAACTATACGACAGCTAGCGTTTTTAAAATGCAACGCCTCCACACGCGTAACCAACTAAAAGAGCTACACACCGAACAAGAGTAATATGGCTATAATTGTAGACGTTAAGCATTTACACCAAAAAGTATAACTATTAATGAACCTAATGGGCTGGTATAATAGACTTTCTGGGCCGGTCGGAAAAAAATGAAAAAAATTTTTTTTGTCCAATTCGTCTAAAAAAAACCTTTTTTTGCTGAACATTATATGGGGTGGGGGTGGGGGTATTGGACCGGCCATGGAGCGATGATGATCATGTTGTATGTGGCCGGTGGCTTTAACGGGCCGCCTCGCCATTACTGGAGTCTGGAATGGGCTAGTATAATAGACTTTCTGGGCCGGGTGTGCTGGGTGTGGGCCGGAATTCGGAATCCTGCATAATCTGACGATATGATAATTTCACAGGTTAATGGTTGTAAATTACTTGCAGGTCGGAGTTTTGGTCTAAATTAATCGATTTATGAGATATATTATTTGACAGAGATTATATTCAGATATGCCACCAAATCGCATATTTGGGGTTTATTTTTTTCAAAATTTTACAGGGGTCCGCGGTCAGTAAAAGAGGCCGCTCCGACACGGGATCCCGGGCCGGTTCCTGGCCCCAAACCACCCCTGATTGTGTGTGGTACAGTCCTCTTGCAGATGTAACGGGTGTTTTAGACGAGCTACATACCACATCCCTACGATGTTCACAGCAAAAGTTTAATAATTAAAGGGGTAATAAATTCAAATCTTCCAAAATATTATCATGTATTATATCTTAATCCATTTTTCTAAAAAACCTCAAGATTAATTATTTCTAGCATAAAACACATAAAAGACGTGCACTGTTAAAAATGATATTGTTGTAGTTTACACCAATTTTATTCTAGTTGCCACCTAAAACAGGGTAACTCCAAAACCTTTAGTGATGTAAATTGATTGGGAGGAGTGTTAAATATGCAGCGACTAATTGCCACTTCTAGTAGTGTAACATCTTAAACATGCATTATGCAAGAGCAAAATCTGCTTATTACAAGTCTTTCTTTAGGCCTGAAATGTTATCTAAATTATCACTTAGACATTAATTAACTTATCCAGACCATAATAAACTCTCGATGTCAAGGCTAGCCTTCGATGTTGGCTGGATTAGATTCCTATATGCCGCTAACGGCTATTGATAATTAAATCAATAAAAGTGGATAATCGAGACTATGCTGTTTATATTAATGATTTTAGTAATGATGACCGAGACTATGCAAAAATTTCACCCGCTTCTTTCTTGGCTCAGTGGATCAATTTGACTGAAATTTTCAGCAAATTAACTTTACACTATCTAGGTTTTAACTATTATAGCGAGAACTGATATCTCTTTATCTTATCTCCCATAATGTATCTTTAAATTTAGTGGTGTAGACTAATACTGAGTGTTACACTCAAACAGTGTAATGTTACACTTAAATAGTTTACACCTCAATATGGAATGTATACAATGTATACAATATAATATCTTTTTTTTTTTAATATTCACCCACGTCCATTTTAATATAATTTGTTTTGGTTTTTTTTAATATTCACCCAAGTCAATTTTAATATAATTTGGTTTTTATAATTTTCACCCAAGTCAATTTTAATTTCCATCCAAGTCATTTGTAATATAATTTGTTGTTTTTTTTATATAATTTTCACCCAAGTCATTTGTAAAATAATTTGTCTTTTTATAATTTTCACCTAAGTCATTTGTAATATATTTTTTCTTTTTTTAATTTTCACCCAAGTCAATTTTAATATAATTTTTTTCTATAATTTTCACCCAAGTCAATTTTAATTTCCACCCATGTCATTTGTAATATAATTTGTTTTTTATAGTTTCCACCCAAGTCAATTTTAATATAATTTGTTTTTGATAGTTTTCTCCAAAGTCAATTTTAATTTTTACCCGAGTCATTTGTAATATAATTTGTTTTGTTTAATTTTCACCAAAGTCATTTGTAATAATAATAATTGGCCATTTTGCCTGGACAGCGGCGGTCCCGCCTATTCTTGTGGGAAAATAAACGTGCAGTGGTCGACAGAATCTTCTTAAGTCGGGATCTGACAGTGAAACGCATTGAAATGAAATGAATTGGGGGTTTAACGGTCTACTGTTCTGCTCCGACTGGGCGAATGAATGTAGTATGCCAGAAGTGAAATTTTGCTCTGACAGCGGCACTACTAAATTTCTTATATAAAATTTCAACTGTCAAGAGTTATTTTACATGCACGCCAATGTATACTAGGGACCTGGGTATTGATCATGCACCCATCATTGCCATCGCTAACGTATATCCAGACATCGAATTCAACGCACAGTGTGTTGAAAAGAGAATTCAAGTGGCGTTTGTGACATTATTTCCGTTCATATGTTCGCGCAATATTTCCGACAAAGAATTGTAACAAAAGGAAATACAGTCAAACTTGATAAATACATATGTGCATTTCATAATTGTCACTCGGTTCAACAAAAATTGCATATTCTTGTGTCTCAGCAGGTCGAGCAAATTATGTTTCCTTGGATCATGATATGGATACATTTATATTTGTAAATGACCAGTCGAACGGTGGGAGTCGAAAAATGTCTTAAAAACAATAATTGCAAATGATCGGCCCAGGCCCCGGTTATTGTTTAATATCGCCCAATTCCTATAGTAAGAACATTAAAAGATACTGTAAAATAAATTATTAAGAATTGACATATAATGATGTTTGTACCGATAAAGGTCCCTGCTGTGACCCCCCCCCCCCCGCCCCTTCCGTTAAAAAAAGAAAAGAAATTTCCAATAGGGAAGGGCTGGCACAAACCCTCTGTATGCGCAGCTGATGTGAAATTAATCTGTTTCTGCGCTTCTATTCCATTTGAAGAACGGACACAGGCTATCTTTTTTATCACACGTCCTCGTTTTTCATTCGCGGACCACAAAGTATATTCACGGACTCTCGATCCGGTTGTGGGAAACACTACTTTTTAACCGACCCAGATGCAAGGGAAGGTGGTCTGCTTCCTCTTAATTGTGTGCTTAAAGGGAGATAATTACCGAAATTCCTGTTCCGGTTTTATTAGCACATGGAAGAGAAAATAAACATAAACAACACATAAAACATCAGAATGAACATTGTGCCATGTTTAACGTGGGTTAAACAAGGATCAGTCAACAAGTCACCACAAAGGGTATGAATACGTATTGATAAATAATAGTATAGTAATATTATATAAATATAATTTTATAAAATTGGCTATACTTTTCTGGGAATGAGAAACTAGATTAAAAATGTCGAATAGGAGATAAAACGTCACTGTCTGTTCCAGGACTAGGAGATACTCCTACTCTAAATTCTAAAATTCCTCACCATGTCACCATATCTTCAGTTTTTAATTTAAACTACCAAAAGTTGATGACATACCTGAAATTGTCGTCCCGTTGCTTTCTTCATTGAGCCTCAACGCCTAGAGGTTTGATAATATCCACTGTACTGTTCTCTTTCTTGTTAATTTCACCATGGACCTTATAATACATATTATAAGAGAGAGAGAGAGAGAGAGAAATGGGGTTTAACATCCACTGGACACAAACTAGGTCATTTCGGGACTAACATGGTTTAATTGTATTTCAATAATTCGCTTGCGCGTAGGGGTCTTTAGCAGTGGGAGGAAACCGGAGGACCCAGAGAAAACCCACGAGGTTGGACAGGCGACCCTACTCCTTGTCACGTAGGACCAGGGATTCGAAACCACGCCAGTTGACTCAATGACAGGCCTTATGATACAGCACGCACATGCTAACCATTCGAATATCCAACCCCCAACATATTATAATAAATAAGGTCCATGATTTTACATATTTCAACATTGTTTCATTCTCAGAAAATAAACATTACGAGTGTGTCTGCGTAAAATGCGAGACTTGCATGTCGCTTAAAGGGTAGACAGGGATCTCCAAATCGGGTACATTCGGTATTAAATATTTAGTGAAGGAAAATTTGCCGGTTTGTTTTGTGGCAGTAATACTTATTAGGGTTTCACACTGAGAAGCTTGTGTTAAATACCGGTACTACTGTTTTTTGGTTGGATTAATATTATGTTCTGTTTCCACTTGCTTATTTCGCAGAAGCTTCTCATTAAGCCTGTCAGGTTTTGAGAGCAAGGTCTGGAAATGTGACATTTTTTATAAACACTTTATATTAGTTTTACGAAGTAGGCCTACATAGGTTCTGATCATCTGTAAATATGTTTATCTAAATTTTCTCCATTTGGCGATACAGTTTGTAGTGTATAAACTAAATAATAATTATCCGACACGTACAGCATCAACAGCATAATATACATACACAATGGCACTAGCTATAATAATTATTGATACAAAATATTATTTTATCTCAATTTTAGCTGATATATCTGGATAGCCCTCATAAATAAGCAGAGCAAGGTCCGCAAATTTTATTTAACTTTTCCAGGTTAAGGCACTAAAAACAACACCAGTTATACACCACTAGGACACAACCTTAACACAAGCGTAACCAGGAACTTGAATTGACCCAATGTCTAGCAGATATGGTGATTTCAATGATAACTTCATTACAGTGATTTTCTAAGAATCGATCACACAAACAGTCATGAAAATAGATTCATTTCTATTCACATTTAATGGTCCTGCATGCACAGTAGGGTGTTTCATATTTGAACTTTTTTTCGCGATTGAACTCTACCATGTGCCATGCGTTTCCAATTGGGCCCAAACTCATCACCAGCGAATATTATAATTTTCCTACCAAAAATGGCGGGCCGCCACCATTTTGAATTTTTCACCAAAAATGACTCAATGTGAAATTTTTGAAATAGTCGGAAAAAATACTTCCCGTTACAGTAGAAAGATAAAACGTGGCACAATGCATCGAAAAGGCACAGAGATGTTCTGCGATTTATTTCAGAATTTTAGCATCAAAATTCAGGAGGTTTGCAATTTGGCATTTTTTAGAAAAAAGTCTTTTTCTGTAGAATTTGTTAAGACCACTATGATTAAAGATGGGTTCCCGCGTACAAACTGGGTGATTTAATGGTATATATGGGCCAAAAACATATTCAAACTAATTAATTTGTCATAATTATGCTTCAAATCCTTCTCAAACATTGTAATTGCGAAGGAATGCCCTACTATTAAAATTCGATCAAACCAGGTCATGTTTACGTCTCGTCTTGGGAGTCAGAGGAGAATTCATTGCATACATAAGACGAATTGTTGTCTTTAATCGCTTACTATTTATTACAAATGTCGAATCCTAATTAAATTCTCGGATTATCCACTACCCGCGTCTTTTTCCATCATTTTTATCTCAGAAAGTATTGTACGTCTAACTCTTCATAAAGTTGATCAACTTGTACATCAAGCGCTCAGTGTTCGCTCGTGACCTTTGACATCACGTGTGCAGAAGTTCCTAATCGTCGGGCTGTTGATTAGGGAAACCCTTACATTTTTGTCCTGTATACGCTCCATGAGTGTTTTTCGGGGAATCCAGTATTTTTCTAGTAAGATTGGATATCTCTACTATCCATATATACCAAAATTGCCATACTTTTATTGGAAATAACCACCCGATAAATACGTTTCTGGGAACCCATCTTTAAACTCCACCAAAATGTCATAAACAAACCTATCTACACAAATGGAGATTAATAAAGAACTAAATTAGTTATGCGGGTTGTCCTCGATGAATATTTGATCATACAAGAGAGACAGAAACCATTCAAATAATCACAAAAGTCATTTAATAATCCAGACGAGCCAAATTATGTTTCATATAGTCAGGAAATTTGGTGTGATGCATTTCGACTGACTGTAGCAAGGCCTGTAACTGTTCTTCATCGCCAGTCTTGTCAATGAAGTCTTGAATTGTCTTGATTCTCCGTTCTGCAAGATCATTTGTCACAGGAGTGTTTTCCACAAAGCTTAGAAATTTTCTAAATTTAAAAAAAAATCCTATTCGCTACATGGTACCTGTGATTCGGTGAGGCCAAGAGGATTAAAGACAAGCCATGAGTCGTTAGATATAAGCTCAGAACAATCTGTTTATTGAATTTTAGATCTTCCTGGTTTGAGTTGAGGTCTAGGTGTTGAAAACAGTTTTATAGCCATAGGTTCAGAGACTTTACCAGACAAATAAGCAAAAAACTACCAGTTTTCAACACCTAGGCCTCAGCTCAATCCAGGATAACCCAAAATTCAAGAAATAGACAATGAAACAGATTATTCTGTGCTTATATTTAACGTCTCATGACTTGTTCTAATCCTCTTGGCCTCACCAAACCACAGGAATGGATGCAGGGAGAACTTTCCAGAAAAACACAATGACACAGATTATACAGAGCTTATATCTAACGACTCATGGTTTGTCTTTAATCCTCTTGGCCTCACCGAATCACAGGAATAGATGCAGGTACCATGTAGCGAATAGGATTTTTTTTTAAATTTAGAAAATTTCTAAGCTTTGTGGAAAACACTCCTGTGCAGAACGGGGAATCAAGACGATTCAAGACTGGCAATGAAGAACAGTTACAGGCCTTGCTACAGTCAGTCGAAATACATCACACCAAATTTTCTGACTATATGAAACAAACTTTGGTTCGTTTGGATTATTAAATAACTTTTGTGATTATTTGAATGCGCTCTGTCTCTCATGAATGATCAAGTATTCATCGAGGACAACCCGTATAACTAATTTAGTTCTTTATTAATCTCAATTTGTGTAGATAAATTAGTTTATGACGTTTTGGTGGAGTTTAATCACCTTGGTCTTAACAAATTCTACAGAAAAAGACTTTTTTCTAAAAAAATGCCAAATGGCAACCATCCTAAATTTTTATGCTAAAATTCTGAAATATATTGCAGATCATCTTTGTGCCTTTTTGATGCATTGTGCCAAGTTTTATCTTTCTACCGTAACGGGAAGTATTTTTCCGACTTTTTCAAAAATTTCACACTTGGCGAAAAATTCAAAATGGCGGCGACTTGGTGGGAAAATTATAATATTCGCTGGTGATGAGTTTGGACCCAATTGGAAACGCATGGCACATGGTAGAGTTCAATCGCGAAAAAAAGTTCAAATATGAAACACCCTAATGCACAGATGGTGCTAGTGCTTTTCAAAATAAATCTTATTTTTACTGGTGCTGTTGTGTCTGAATAGACAGTATGTTCAACATACATGTTAACAACTGAGTTATTAAGAATCGTAATACAAATTTTTTTTTGTCATTGAAAAATGGCATGATTAATTTATATTGTAGGTATTAATTGACAGAGAAGATTTAAGAAGAGTTATAGAAGAAACCAAAGAGTGAGTTGTATCTAGTTTCATGTTAGATATCAATCAGTATCATAGATAAGTACAAAGCCTTGGGCTTGTAAGGTATAGTATTAAGGAAAAGAAGTCAACAATATTTTTCAATAGGTTGTACACAGCGTGTATTTCCTTCTACGATTGTTTGAAATTATTTTCATGGGCTTAGACATCAAACGCCAGTTGCTTATACTAATCTTTCACTTATACTGTCTGTCTGTCTGTCTGTCTGTCTGTCTGTCCGTCCGTCATGCTTTGGGACATTATAACTTTAGTTCTGATTAAGTGAGAGTGATGAAGTTTGGTGTATAGTTTAATTACATCAATACCTTGACTAAGTTCGATAATGAGCATTTTCTGCTCAGGGTAAACAGAGCGATAAGCAATTTGATTGGTTGTAACTTTGGAACACAACAACTCTCTTTCTAATTGAGGTAGAATGTTCAAATTTGGGGTAGGCATTCATTAGGTCAACACCTTGATGGAATTTGATGATAAACATTGTCTGCTTACTGTAAGCAGAGCTAAGCAGTCTGATTGGTTGATGCTTTGGGGCTCTATAACATTGGTTATAATTAAGTGATAGTGATGAAACTCTGAGTATAGATTCATTATATCATTACCTTGACTAAGTTCGATGATGAGAATTTTTTGCTTAGGCTAAAGAACGATAAGCAATTTGATGGATGAAGACTTTGGAACGTAGCAACCTGCTTTTAATTGAGGTAGAATGTTTAAACTTGATGTAGATGTTCATTAGGCGAATGTCTTGACTGACTTCAGTGATTAACTTTGTGAGCTAAAGCTAAGCTGAGCGAAGCAATTTCATTGGTCGATGCTTTGGGACAAGATAACTTTGATTTTATCTGATCAAGAGTGATGAAACTTAGTTTATAGTTGATAATCAGTTTGATTGCTTAATACTTTTGAAAAAAATAAATGTGCGATTAATTAATATGTGTCATTTATTTATTTTGGGATTTCAGCGGGAGACATCAGCCTCACTGTTGGCTTGTTTAAATTGTCTTTGAATATGCTGGAATTGTTTTACTCATGTCATTAATAAGTAGTACAAAACTGACTGAGTTAGTGGCACAAAAATATTGTGTGTTTTTATTGTTGTCCTCCACCTTGGTTCGTCTATTGGTTTGTCATCCACTTGTGGATATCATGAATGCTATAGAAGTCAAGGTTACCATCTGATACACAGTATTTAAGTTCATGCAACGAAGAAGAAGTCTGCTAAATTTAGTATCTGATTATCCGTATATGTTTAGTTTAATAATTAAGTGTTAGCACAAGGAAGAAATAAAACCAATCAAATGTTAATTATTTCTATGGTTATCTATCTTTTCGCAGTTTGGACAACTAAAGCCTAGCTTAAAACCTGTTGTACGTGCTACAGGAATTTTTTTCGTAAATCTAAGCTTGGTACTGACATGTTTTCGGCACCATAGAAGATCGCAGACTGGCCATAGAGACTTTTGATCCTGCACCTACAAAATTTTTACCCCGTTTTTTTCGGCTGGTCTGGTAGCTACCAAACCCTATGACCTGTGCGTGTCAAAACATGTATCGCAGGTTGTGAGCTAGTTTCTCTTGCCTGTAGGCTTTTAGCTTGGCATCCTATCTTGTGTGAAATAATTTTCAAACTCTTTGTTTGATCTATTAAAGTGAAATTGAAGAAGCAGAAGAAGAAGAAGAAGAAGAAGAAGCAGAGGAAGGGGCTAGTTCATCACAAATGGATGATAAAAAAAAAATTAAAGATACAAAAAATAAAAGAAAGATAACAGACATGGATGATGATGATGATGATTATATCACTTCAAAGTATGGTTTAGATGATTATGACGATGATGATGAACAAGGTTAGTTTTAAAGATCATATTTAGCCTCCCCCATCTTAAAGCCAAAGGGTTAATAAAGACACATAGTTAATAAAATAAATGCCTCTGATTCAGAATGACTGTATTTATGTACTGTTTCCAGTAGGACGCTAAACCTGATTTCATTTCATATATTGTAATTGATCTATTCAACAGCTGTTGTCATGAGTATAACTATAACTGGCCTGGGACCTTTTACTAAGAAAGGGATGTGGGATAGGGACTTTTCATAACCTAATAATTCATTACATACAATCTTGTTAAACCACACCAAGTAAACAAAAATATTCACGTTTATTCGTTTATTTTATAATCTTAATTGACTCAAAATAAGTCTAGAATAACCTATGATGAATTTCTGCAAGAGATTTTAACTGGTGCATTTTTTGTAGATTTTGATCCTGTTGGTGGATTTGATAAAGTTGCTCTATTTGCCAGTAATGATGATGATCCTTATATTACAGATAAAAGAGAAGTAATCAATTTTATCTCATTAATTAACATTGAAAATCTGTAAATGGCAGGTAGACGTTCCAGATTTCTCTCATGAAACTACTTGTTTTGTTCTTATGTGAACTCATCAGGCTGAAGTGTGAATGTGTGGCGGTTCCATGTCTAAAACTTACAGTTGTCAAAATATGAGGAGTGTGGTCTCTTATCAAAAAAATAATGTCAGATACCCATATTTTATATGTACAGTGTAAAAGAAAATTAGATTTACTGAGTGGAAATTGAATCTGTTATGTAAAGATTGAGAAATATGATTGATACTTAATGCTCACAAGATAATGATGTTTGTTGCTTATATTAAAGCCTTTGTATTAATTAGGATCAGAGTGATGATGAAGATTTTGAAATACAACCTACAGATAATTTAATTGTAACTGGTAGAGCACATGAAGATGCTAGTCACTTAGAAGTTTTAGGTAAGTGAAACATATATAACTGCCTTTATGAATTATTAGTAAAGAAGAGATTAGACAGCCTTTTCATATATTCCTGAAGCTATGCTAATGAGCTGGCCAGTTGGGTGAGTGTTTTCAGCGATCTACTAAGTTTGCCTTCTGGCTAATCCTTCAGTGTTTTGACTTCACTTCTATTCAATCAACATCTGATATAAATTACTTACAAATGGACATCAATTAAGTTGTTTTGAAATGAATTGTTCATGTCAGTCCAAGCTGCAGTATCAAACAAATTGCGACGTCGCGACGTGACTTGCATATTACTTCGAAACAGCACAAATATTGGATATAACACCAAAGACATTGCTTTACCGTAGTTGATCTGCTGGTAATATAGATAACAAACCTTATCTCTCCACCCTCTGTGTTTCGAGATAAGAAATGGTGCTATTACCTTCAACGTAGCACATGCGGGAGCGATTCGCACCCGGCATTTGTAAACAAAATTGACAATATTTTTAATCAAAACAACGATTGATTATTGTTATTTATAATATTTCTGTCACACCCAACTACAGTTAAGCATATAATCATACCTGAAACGGGTACAGATCCCCTCTTTTTAAATCAAAGCGACAGTAGATTGCTTTTTCTGACATTTTAAATTTACGTCTGTTACACATAAAGGCGGGGCCTCGTGTGCAATAGCCAATCAAAATACTAATCTGATCAGAGTTGCGCAGTAGTAATACGCCGTAATTATGAACGTCCAAATCAATTTTGATAAAAACAATGCTTGATTTACTTTATTGTCGATATTTGCTGATAAATGAATGTTGTTTCAGTAGATTGGACTGCGTATGTGTAATAAGTACTAATAGTATAAAATTAACTTATTTTTAAGATGGTACATGCATTAATAAAGAAATTGAGTTTGCCACTTGGAACTAAAGGCATCCAATCGTAGCTAAAACAAGCACATCAGTATATCTCAGTGTTTTTAGTTACGTTCTCGTAGCTACTGGTAATGAAGCTTCAGGAATAATAATTGATAATTATATTTTATGGCACTTACAACAAAATGCTGACATTCAGCTAGAATAGCTGTTCTGAGGCATGGTTTATAAAGTATAATATATTAAAACACAAGTTTATATATAACACAGAAATGTAACACAAATTAAAAAAAAAACATGTTAGTTAAAAGCCAATATAAACAAATGAGGTTTTTCTTAAAAGAATTATAATTATCAGCATATTGAGAATATTTTGGTAAATGGGTGGAACCAAACCAAGAGATTATTTAGTTGTTAGGCATAATATTTGTGTTTATTTGTAAATATAAATTGTTGATGGTATTTTGTATTTATTTACAGTTTATAATGAAGTTGAGCAATATTTATATTTACATCATGATTACTTGTTACCTGCATTTCCATTGACTGTTGAAACTATTAATTATGATGTTGGTGATACAGGTGACTCGGGTAAGTATGCTATAAACATGAGAAGAAACCATAAAGATGCAAATAACAAAAAGGGGGGGGGGGGGAATGCATCGAAAAGGTTAGACAACATGACTTCTTAAAATATTGGGGACGTTAAACCCCATTTCATTTCATTTCATTTAAAATATTGGCTACTAGCTTAGTTTCCTGAAGGTAATGGCTCATTCAAGAAAAGTGGGGCACATTCTAGAATGTATCTCCTCATAACTTCCGTAATAACACAATAAGCACTATTGAATTCCTTGTAAAATAAACTACCGGTAGTTATTATGAATAGAGAACAAACCCACAAACAAAGAAAACAAATTTTTTCTTTCATGTATATATAGATGATTAGGCCTACATGTACAACATTGACGACACACGTCACTTATACAATAAAGTATGTAAATTACAATAATTGTGGTGAAATTTATAGCAATAGATTTGAGGGTGTCCCGATATATACAGTTTGTTATGTTTATAGGATGTTATGCTGCTATAGGAACCATGAAGCCAACTATTGAGGTATGGGATTTAAATATAATGGAGAGTTTAGAACCAGCATTTAAACTAAAAGGTGCATCAAAGAAAAAAAAGAAAAAGGTAGATATAGAATACTGAAAATCACAAAATAGATAGAATTATATAAATAAACATACTTTTTTCTGGGTTCATTACTCCCCAGGATAACTGAATGAGTGGGCAATCTCAAAAATTTATACTGTTTCATTATAGCTGCAAATAAAGTTTAGAATTCCATACTAACCATGCCTTATAAAGTTTAGAATTCCCACCTAATTTTTTACGATATTTTATAAAGAGTTGAATTCTTACTTAACCATGCATTATAAAGATTAAATAAAATTCCCAACAATTCTTACCCAAGTAACAATGTTGATTCTTCAAACAATCTAGGCCTACTTTCAATTTGTTGTGAATCGAACTGAGCAGCCTTGTGGTGTAGGCAGTAAGATTTTTTGGTATTGCCAAAATAGTTTAGAAAAGTATGGCGTATTCCAAAGACAACTTTCCTTTTTTCAATTTTTACAAAACATAGTTTTTCCATACTTTTGATTTGTATTTGTCAATGATTTTGGTGCCTGCCGTTTGCTGTTTTATGTATTTTAAAATGTTTTGTTTGATTAACTGTGTCCTAAAATATATTAAGATAAGATATTAAAAAGTTACAAACAAATCTGTATGAAACTAAAAGAGAATACAGAAGTTCTTATGGTTGGGCTATTTATAGGAAACATGACAGATTGCCAAATGGTGTCTGCTGTGCAGTGTTATTAATTCAAATTAACCAATGTGTATCCCGAAGAATTCAGCATCTCACGATTCATTACGCTAATCGTGATACATTGATTCAACAAAATATTGTTTTAACATTAACAAGCAAGTTATTGCACATGTTGAGATGACTTCAATGGAAATTGATGTCTTAAGCTGTTGTTGTGCCATTTTTATTACTATCAAGAATATTAAATATATTTAATTTATAGTCTGGTACAGTAGGTGGTCATAGTGATGCTGTTCTAGATTTATCATGGAATTCAGTTGTAGGGTAGGTGATAATCTTTTTTGAGATAACCATATTAAATTGCTATATTACGAAGGTAGTGGAAAGCAGTGGAATATGTAACATTTAAGATATTCGTTTCCACTGGAATGTTCGTTAGGTCATATTTGGCTGGCAACCTATGTTTTATGAGACCTTCACAGACTACCATAAAATTACACCTATGTTTTAGGTAGATTTTGTTTTATAATCTTCAAATAACATGCTTTCTATTGTAGAAATGTTTTAGCCAGTGGCTCTGCTGATTTCACAATAGCATTATGGGATCTATCAGAATTAAAGGTTGTTACATCATTAACACAACATATTGAAAAGGTAAATTTATGTCTTATTTTATTGTATAGATGTAGACTATATCTTCTGTTAGTAATAAGGAGCCACCGTTGTTCACCAAGTACCAAGTCTGATCCTGGTCTACAAATTTTCTCAGGATTTTAAGCCTGGTTTCCCCTTTTTAGCAGTGCAGGACAGATGGCCTGGTAAGGGAAAAAAAAACATCTAGTGGTTCCCATGTGACGAAAAAACTGAGGTCCTGTATATACAAGATCTCTATAAATATCTATAATTGTTCATATATATTTATATATACCAAGCCTTACTTTAGTTTCTCACATTTATCATCACTAAAAAAATGGTCATAGATTTGCTGATAGACATTTCTTGGATTTTACAGGACTATTAAAATGGGTTCGTCTGTCGGTCTGTCTGTCACACTTTTTGGGACACAAAAACTCTCTTTCTAATTGAGGTAGAATGTTTAAACTGGTGTAGGTGTTTATTAGGTCGATGCCTTGATGGAGTTCGAAGATGAGCATTTTCTGCTTTGGGTAAGCAGAGATAAGCAATTTGATTGGTGGATGCTTTGGGATACGATAACTTTAGTTCTAATTAAGTGAGAGTGATGAAACTTGGTGTATAGTCTTGACTAAGTTTGATAATGAACATTTTCTGCTGAGGATAAGCAGAGCAATAAGCAATTTGATTGGTCCAGACTTTGAAACACAATAAATCTCCTTCTAATTGAGGTGATTGTTCAAACTTGGTGTAGACGGTCATTAGGTGAATGCCCTGATGGAGTTTGATGATGAACATTGTCTGCTTACGGTAAGCAGAGATAAGCAATTTGATTGGTTGATGCTTTTGGGCACAATAACTTTGGTTATAATTAAAGATACATTATGGGAGATTAGATAAAGAGCTGGCAGTTCTCACTATATTAGTTAAAAAATAGGTAATGTAAAGGCAATTTGCTGAAAATTCCAGTTAAATTGATCCACTATGAACCGAGAATTAAGCAATTGAAATTTCGGCCTAGACTCGATCATTATTATAAAAAACCTAGTCTCAATTATCCATTTCATGATTAAATCGGGAATGAAAGTTGAGCACCAAATGGGATCATAATCCAGAAAATATCGCACGTCTATCGCTGTACCTTCCAAAACATCAAAAGGTTAAAGGATGTTGATGAGTGAGTCTTCGTGATTTTGGTATATGCAAATAGGGCAATTATTTCCTAAACTATTTCTATTTGAAAGACTATTAATGCCCCTTATCTGCTAGGCCTAAAATAATAATAGATATGACTATATTTTAGGTTCAGTGTGTAAAATGGCATCCATTAGAAGCCCAGTCTCTACTGTCAGGTTCCTTTGATCAGTAAGTACCGATTCATATATTGCCGTCGTCTCTGTGTGTCGCCTACATGCCGCAATTCTTAACTGATGGTCTTGAAACTTTACATACTTATTCCTTATACCCTAAGAATGATCCCTATTGTTTTGGGTGCATGCCCGACCCCCCAGGGGCAGAACCACGCCCATTTCTTGTATTTGTTTGTTTGTCGTCTACAGGCCGCATTTCTTAATGTATCATTTTGAAACTTTGCATACTTACTCCTTATACCTAAAGGAACATCCCTATTGTTTGTGGTGCATGCCCAACCCCCAGGGGCAGAGCCACGCCCATTTTCTTGTTGTGTGTTGCCTACCGGCCGCAATTCTTAATCGATTGTTTTGAAAACTTTTCATACTTATTCCTTATGTCCGAAGGATGATGTCCTCTGTTATAGCCTAAGGGTGGTAACTAGTGATTTTGGTGCGTGTCCCGAATCCCAGAGACAGAGCCACTCCTATTTTTTGTGTATAGCGCCCGAAGGCCACTATTCTGAATGGATTATCTTGGAACTTGGCATACTTATTCCTTATACCCCAAGGACGGCAACTACTGATTTTGGTGCATGATTACCCCCCCCCCCCCCCTCCCTCCTTGGGTGATGCCACACTCACTTTATTTTGGTGCATGCCCCTGGGGCGATATCACACCCACTTTTTTGTTAATATTTAGTCTCTAAATTTGGCAAAACGTCTAGCCTTCTTTGCCTCTTGTCATATTACGGTCATTGCAGCCATTTCATTATTCATTCACTTCATTTTAAAAAGTAGCATATCAATGAAATCAAGAATGTGGCTATATATTGCAACATTAGCGATGCTCTTGTTAACAATAAGCATCATTTGGTCTTACGTAAATTGTCAGTATTTAGATCTTAGTACAATTGTAATACCATAGATATGCCATGCATATTTAAATGTTTGTTTTTATGAACATATAAACTGACTGTTATACCATTTATTTTTTAGTACTGTTAAAGTATATGATTGCCGTAATCCTAACACTACAAATAGAACTTGGAATCTACAAGGTGAAGTGGAACGTATTGTGTGGAATCATTTCTCTCCCATGCATTTCTTTGTAAGTAGCTTGCTTAAAGAACAAATCTCAGTCAATGAAAATGTTTAATTCTAAACATGAGCAATAATCTGAGACTCAGCAAAACATTTTCACAAAAACACCATTATCCCACTGTCTGGTGAAGTTGGGGCTTCATGACTAGTTGTCTTGTTATGTCTGGACAAACCTGTCTAATACTCAAACGGTTGTGCAGTCACATCTTTCTACGTTACTCTTGTCTTTTTTTGCCATTTTCCAGTGAGTATGCATTATTTGGGAAATTCTGCTCCATAGTTCAATTTAGTTTATGTAAGTAAAGAAGATACATGCATTGAAGTAAGAATATTAGTATAAGCATTACTAGGCAACACAAATAAAATAACTTGTTTCTCGGGCACCGCCCGCACGCAAAATTGGTTGCGCGTGCAGTCTATTTATTAGTCTTGATGAAAAAAAATAAATATGTAACGCCCGCCCGCACATCGACAAGCAAGTCGTAAAAAAAATATCCCGCATGTACCTACATCCGCCATACATGTATATCTATTCAAATGTATTAAAACTGATTCAGATGAACATGCTGTCTTTTTTATCCGAACAATGGCGAAGTTTGGCAGATTTGCCTTTTTTATTGATATCGAAAGAACCTCCATTTTGTATCACGTGATATTAATTACCTCCCCTGATAAACTAGAATTTGATTCGTGTTAAAAGTCATTGGCGACAATATTTCAATCATTCGATCGTAATCGGCTCATTATTGCCGGCTTCAGTCGGTCCTTGTTTGGAAAATCCTATTGATAAAATAATGAACCGTAGAACAGGTTAATTAATTATAGCTAAGAATACGATACGATGACGATAGTCGTCATAATGCACACCTTAGAATCTGGGTCATTATTAGCACATTTACGGTAGTTTCGATAATCCGGAAAATAATAATTGGATTACCGATTTGATGGTTTTACTGACCAGTTGTTAGTTAGATTTAAATAGTCATTCAATATAAACACCGGATAGAACACCGAATATCCTGAGAAACACACCGAATATCCCAAGAAACAGTATTTCCGGCAATCTCCAATACCGATGACACGGTGTGACATGCATTGGTTGGAATTCGGTAAATAATTATAAATAAACCGGCGATACTAGATTTAGTTTTAAATACTGTTTACCATGATTATTATTTTTGATACACCTGGTGAAAGAGGCTTAGTTTTTAAAAATATTGTTGTCTTTATGGAGGGCTATTACATAGTCGTATGGAATTTTATTTTAAACCAATTTCAATTATGTGAATTAAATATGGAAAATTATTTTCCTTTCAGTCAGTGTTCAGTCTCAGTGTTTTAGTAGACTTGATTTTGGGTTTATGTTTTAAGTATGTACAATAAAGTTGAATATAACGGAAAGCAAAAACGTAAACAAGTAATGACTGTCTCATTTAAAAAAAAAAAAAAAGAAAGACCGCCCTCCCGCCCCAACAATTTTCAGCAATAGCCAAATTTTATTTTGCACCATCAATGAGTAAAAAAAAAAAAGAAACCGCCCTCCCTCCCTACAGTTTCAGCTGTCAGTTGCCCGAGAAACAAGACATTTATTTTGTGTGGCCCTAGATTAAGAGCTAGAATTATGAACTTCCAGTTCTATCAAAATACTACAAGCCCATTATAATATTCAAAGGTAGTAGATTTTCTTACATGGTTAAATGTTCATACCACAAACATGCTAAAAATCACATTTCAGCTGTATTATGTCTTTACAGCACTTCCAGTTAAATCAGTTGTGCGTTTTCATTGCGTCTCAATGTATTTGTTTTTATACACGCACTCAAAAATTGAACTCTGTTGTTATGTCGTCCTTTTTACTGGTCATTAACAATTGTTTGTTGCCTGGCTGGTGAGTACTGTAGTTTGCAGAATTCATAAAAATAGCAGGGATGTATCGTAACCTGTACTCTGTTGAATATTTGAGAATTTATTGTGGATTATATGTGTATATATTTATTGTATTTTTAGGCGTCTACTGATAATGGACAAGTATTTTATTTTGATATTAGAGAAGATAAACCAATCTATAAGTTTAAACCCCATGATAAAGCTGTTACAGGTATATTGTTTCTTCTACATATCAAATAACAACTACAACACTGACTGTTATACTATATTATACTAGTAAAAAGTACAACACCGACATACCGATATTTATATTATACCAGCACCAAGTACAGAACTGACTGTTATTAATATTATACCAGTAACAAGTACAATGGTCATTGTTTATCTATGTTAACAAGTACAAATTGGTTTCCTATAGCAACCAAACCAACTTTTATATATAGATGGTTATTTATGTATTTTGTTTAATATGATTATGTTGTATATTAAAGGTTTATGTTTAAGTAGTCAAATACCAGGTCTTTTGGTTACAACATCAGATGATAAAAAACTTAAAGTCTGGGATGTTCAAGATAACAAGCCACAACATATTATTGAAAAAAATCTAAAGATTGTAAGTTAATTTATTCTTTACAGAAAATATGATATCACTATTTTAGAATAGAGCCTTGTACATGATGTTTGAGATGGAAAATTCAATTGTAATTATATGAAATGTTCCATGCACTAATGAATATGAGTTTAAACAACAAATAAATGCTGTATTTATATCAGAAAATAATAATTGTTTTGATTTGATTTATTGTGCTAATCTGTACCTACTTGCATTTTAAAGTTTGTAAAGAAAAAGAGCTACAAACTGGACAGGAATGATAATTTTACCACTAACTTGTCATTAATTAAAGAGAAACATATAAATCAAAAACTTTCCCCAGAACACCTGATACCACTTCACTATTGTGTATTGATTATTTTGATAATTTTAGAACGAGTTACACTGTGTTGGTTGTTGTCCAGAAGCTCCATTTGTATTTGCTGCAGGGGGAGACAAAGAAGCCAAAGTTTGGGATATTCGAGAAAGTTTAAAAGGTAATTATTGCATAACATTATCAAAATAGCCATATGTTAAAATGCACACTTATCAGCAGTGAATTTTCGCTAGGCCGCTACAATCACTGATAGGGATGACCTCGATGCGACTTAATGAGTTCCAAATATTAACTTTTTTCTTCCGTCAAATTAAATTCTAAAACATTTTTATATGCCCACATTGAAATATGGTCGTATATTGTCGTCGCCCCCGTCCGTCCGTCGGTCTGGCGTCCACAATTGCTTGTGGACGCTCTAGAGGCCAAAGTTAATATCTGATTGACTTTAAATTTATACACAGTATTTAAGGTCATGAGACGAAGAAGACTATTGATTTTCAGCGATTTCCGATAATTACTGCCAGAGTTATGGCCCTTGATCACTTTGAAAAATCTTGTGGACGCTCTAAAGGCCAAAGTTAATATCCGATTGACTTTAAATTTATACACAGTGTCTAAGGTCATGAGACGAAGAATCCTATTGATTTTCAACGATTTCGGATAATTACTGCCAGAGTTATTTCCCTTGATCACTTCCAAAAATCTTGTGGACGCTCTAAAGGCCAAAGTTAATATCCGATTGACTTTAAATTTATACACAGTGTTTAAGGTCATGAGACAAAGAATCCTATTGATTTGTGAAGCTCTAAAGGCTAAAGTTATCATCCGATTGACTTCAGATTGATACACAGAGTTTAAGATCTTGAGACGAACAAGTATATTGATTTTCAATGAATTTTTATGTCTTGAACAGCTAAATCCATGATATTAAAAGTTTTGTATACAAAACGTTAGCATAGGGTAGAACTTTATAAAAACAAACAAATTCTAATGGTTTTCTGATAATTACTTCATGAGTTGTTGCTCTTAATCAGATTTTAGTGTATTATAAATGTTTCATTACCAAAAAAAGTAAAAACATGCAACAACTTTGTTGACTGCCCAGACGATTTAGCTGTTGTGGGCGTATGTTTTGTTGCCTGGCAACCTATCTTTTTCATTTATTAGAAAAATAAATAAAGACCTTTGAATTATTTGTAGGTAAAAATCATTTCCTATTTAGTGTAAATGGGTATTAAAATAAGTAAAATTCACCATTTAGCTCGGATCAGTAACGTCTTATGTAAACAATGCAGGTGCTATTGAGCCAATGATTGACGCCACATGATGTGAGGTCACATGTCGAAACAGTCATCTGTTACAGAGATATTAGAAGATCTCTGTGAAACAGATTGGTTAAAATGTTGCTTCTAAAGCTTTTAAATGAGGCCCTGCTACTTGATATGTTTTATTGTTTTGTCAGTTTATACAATTTGATATTTAATATTTACAGTAAGACAACATTTCTTTAATCGGATGCCGGTAAAACTACAAACAGAATGTGAAGGTGATGAAGCTGATATATCAGAAGATTCAGGTGATGAAGCTGTGGGTGCTATGAACACTTTAACATTACATAATGAACAAACTGTAATAACTGATAAAACCCATGCTACAGCCACAGTTAAACCCAAATCTTCAACGATCGGTAAACAAAAGAAAACTAAAAATAGAAAAAGGAGGAAAAAGTTGGATCAACTTGATTTGTGAATAAAGTTGTTTGATGATAACATATTAGTTGTACTTTAATAAAGGTATATCCTTTTTATACACCCACATTTCAATTGGGTCAAATATTGATGTTTTCCGCCATTCACATTTCTTGATAGGACATTTGAGGTTACAATACCTCATTGTTTACCTCATTGAAATGAAGAAGAATTGTTTCCGACATTTTTTTGATAATCACCTTCAGAGCTACGCCTCTTTGTTGCAAAATCATTTTTACACGCCAACATTTTCATGTGGACGTATATTGTCGTCTCCCCTGTCCATCCATCCAAAATTGTTTGTGAACACTCTACAGGTCACAATTCTTATCCAATTTTGACGAAATATAAGTTAATCTCCAAAAGATCTCGGTTCCTTTCAATATTGGCATGGATTATAGCCCCTGATTGTAAGAAAAATCACGTTTTTAGCTTGTGGACACTCTAGTGGTCACAATTTTAATCTGATTTTGATGAAACTTGAAATGCGTGATTATAAACCAAAGATCTTGGCTCCTTTCGATATTAGTGCATATCGGATCCTAACTTCCTGAATCATGGCCCTTGATTGTACGAAAAATCGCGTTTTTAGCTTGTGGTCCCTCTAGAGGTAACAATTTTTATCTGATTTAAAAAAAAACGTTTGAATATATCACCGTTACACACTAATGATAGCTGGTTTTGAATTTGTGAAAATTGGACCAAAACTGCTGGACAAAATAGTGTAAATATGGGCAGACAAGAGATGACAAAATACAACCGTATAAAAATATAATTCCAACAAACCTGGTGATGTACTATATGGTACTAGTGACCAAAGAATTTTAGTTCTGGGTTTATTCTAGCAGACTACCACCAGATTATAGCATCCGAAACCCTTGTTCCCAGATGTGCTCAAAATAACTGATGAAGAAATCCGAAATTCTTGCTGGAATTAGCGATGATTGACATTCGAAACTTTATCTATCTTTGGAAGATAAGATGTAGCCCTGTAGTATGTAAAGAAGAATGTATCAGTTAGTGAACGATTCGTTTGAGTATGCTGTAACAAAGGGACCACATCAATATTTTTGGGCTTTTATTGTATGGTATATTCTAATCAACAATAAAAAAAATTCAACTTGATATAAAAGGCATGATTTAATTTTCTGAGAACATTATATAAGTACAATTTTTGTGTAATGCTATAAACAAAATTGAAAACGTCTGGAGCTACCCCCACATAAATCTAGTTAACTTGAATAAATAGGCTGCCAGACTATGAAACATAGGGCCTGCTTGATTTGTCCACCGATAGGCGAGCCAGTTTCTACATGGCATACACCAGTCAGGTTACTGGATCAAAGCAAATCAAGTGATCAGGCTGATAAACAATATGCTGTATTATTACAATATTAAACTGGTTACATGACATGTTTTAATCAAAAACAGTATTCTTAAAAGTGTGACTATCAGTAAGTGACTGCAAAATAAGCAGAAAATTATTAGTAGTAATATTACAGAGAAAAAATAAATGACATATGAACATTTGGTTTTACAAAACTCCAATTCAACTTCAAACATCTGGTTTAATTTTAACGCTTTAAAATTAGTGCTTTATGGAGTTTCTAAATAACGTGAATTTTGCCTGGTGATCGCCGCGCTGCCGGCAAAGCGGCGCATCTGGTGTACACCACAGCCAAACTTTTACGACTTCCGGTTAAATCAAGTCACCTCGCCGGGGAAACTGCTGAACAAATCAAGCATGGCCATAGGCTCATAGCAGCTAAGTTACACATGTTTACAAAAGTTGTCTTTAGGTAACTAAAAAGCAAATTTTTGAAAGATTAATTAGTTTGAATGTTGTTAATCCAAATATATCATCAAATCACACAGTTTGTACGCGGGAAAGTATCTTTAAGACTCTTGACTTGGGAAGATTGACACTGAAAAAACTTATTTGTTGTACTAGACTGTCATGTGTAGTAGTCTACAGACTATCAAATACTGTATCTATACCGGTACTTAAAACAATGCATTATAATGATGTCATTCTCAAATTGCTATGTAAATAAGTCAGAGCTTTACACAATATACAAAGTAATAGTTTGACTACCCCTAAATCATTTGTGGTAATAAAACTAAATGAAATGAAATAGGGTTTAACGTCCAACTGTTTTGCTCCAACTGGGCTAATAAAGCCGAGCATACGGCACACAGTGTGCTATGAGGGAAATTTTGCCCGGACAGCGGCACTACGGCCTACTCTTATATCGAATTCCAACCGAATTCAACTGTAAAAAGACCAAGCGGTCAAATATTTACCGGTAGCAATATTAAAGGTTTTCAAGGAATGTCACAATTTGAAAAAAAAATATCAAATATTTATTAGCCCATTGTTGTTATTAATTTGATAAAATAATTATAGAATATTTTAATTTTCAGTTGCCAACAAACTGAACAATCTTAAAATAACAATGTCTTTAAACACAACATCTTGCAACAGTTAAAATAGTCTTTTATCCGAACATTGTAATATTTAGATCATCACTCCACAGCTTCATAAAATTCTTCTTCTTCTTCATCTTGATCATCTTGTGTAATGTTTTTATCATTTGGGTTTGGTACCCATAAACCAGAATCGATACAACGTTTAATATGATATTCAGCTTCCTCTTTAGGGATTTCTAAAATTCGTGTTTTTAACAATTCAATATCTTGTTTTTCAAAGCACTCGCGTAATGTCTGAAATCAAAATAATGGTTAAAGTTGAGGATGGATGGTCTGATTTCCCATTTTGAATAACAACTGATACAAGAGCATGATTTAAGATTCTAACCCATTGTTAAATTAATAATAAAAACTAATATGGTACACAAGTTTTTAAACAAGACTTGTTAATTCATAAGTGCAGTCTCTTAATGATACATGGCAGCTGATTCATTCTAGACAGTACAATCATGCATACACGTCATACAGATCGGATGATAACATTTTTGCTGTTATCGATTTCATAAGCTTTTACAAAGAAAATCAAAAGCCATAACAGAAAATGTGCAAATTCAAAAGGCTTTTTTGTTTCACTAATTTGAATATGATTCATAACTAATGGAAATTGTTCGAACAGGTGTTTTGTCTTACTAATGTAAACTACGTATAAATTTGAAAAAGACTCAATGATAAAATGTAGTCATTAAAGTGCTAACAAGAAAAGGACAAAGTATAAAAAGACATAATTGAATAATTTTAAAAATATAAAAACATTGGTATAAACATTATTTATATTTATAAGATTAAGAAACTTTTATACTAACAAATTAATATACAGAACTTACTTCAGGTAAGGTTTCCATCACATCTACTGGATCTAATCCACCAGGTCCTAACCTTTTCTTTCTTTCTTCCTGTTTAAATATTATTATCATAAAGTTCATATATATTAGAAATTAAGATATAAAAAGATCCTACATGCATATTGCATTCCCATAGCAGATGATTCAAGATTATATCTTAAACATGATAAATACTAATACAATATCTTGAGGTATACTTCAGAAACTGTTCAAGTTATTGGTATTAGTTTCATCTGAAGTAAGACCCCTACATTTGAAATTGATTGAAAAATAAACAAGAGTAAATGACTTCATATTAATGTCATCTTAACAATATTTATTAATCTCTGGTAATCAACATTTATAAAATATCATTTACAAAGTACTTACTTCCTCATATTCTTTCACTGCTTCATCAATTTTTGCTTTAGCTCGAGAACGTATTCTAGATTTAAAGGCTTCTAATTCATCATTGAATGCATCCTGATATTGTTTCTCTCCAATCTTTATTCTGAGAATACAACGTAACATACAAATATAACATTACAGGATAATGATTACAAAATACCCTCACATAACTACTCTATTTATGTACATATAATTTATTATTCTTCAATAAATAAAAGCATGATTGATATTTATTTCTAAATATACATATTTATTTCAAGTTAAAATATTTTTTTTTGTTTTTTTGTTGGTAGATTAAAATGAAATGTTGGTGATTGTAATAACATGAAGCGAGTTCAGTAAGTCGGCATCATATAAAGAACAAATAGTTAACAAGAAGATCAATCAATTAGTGATATACAAAAAAATATTATAATTACATACCTTGAAAAGAAGGCTCTTACACAGCTCCTTGGATCACGTTCTAATGATTTTGCCAATTCCAAAATAAACTGCATAACAATCACCTGATGTGATACATGGTTCATTAAATCATGTTTCTGTAAAAAAAAAATGGTTCAGTTGAGGAAATATATAATCAGATTGCTAGAGTAGACTTGTCATAAAACAAGTCTTGTTACAGAATGGTGATAATAAATATCTATGATAAAACTAACCTCCTCTATTTCCAAGTCTATACACCACAGGACTAAATAGTTGGCTGTTTCTTCACATACAAGGTGTAAATTATCACTTAAATATTGCTGACTGTCTTCATATTTCTGCATCATACCGTATTTCTTTATTTCGCTTTTATGTTTGTCCACAAATATTTTCTGTAAAACAGATATTACAAATAAGGGAAAAGGTTACATTTTCAATGTTTTAACTGTATGGTAAGGGTGAGATCAACCTAACTATCTTGTTCACATCTATTGCAGCAAGCTCACTTTTCCTTGCTATGTAACCATTAAATTTCTTAAAACATAACTAAAATTTATGGAAACTATACATTGAGGGTTAAAAAGATTTATCTGTACCTGTCTATCAGCTTTTTCTTCATCTGTAAGTTGTTTAGGTGGTGGAGGGGCTTTATTTATTAACTGTTATATTAATAATAAACATATTATATAATACTGTCAAAAAGTATATACATGTATAGTGATACAATCAAGCATGAATTCATTCTCAGTTTTTAAAAAAAATACAATACTGATAACTCTTATTTAGCCAAGTTACAACTTCTACACTCTGAACATCATTTAAACATACATCATACATTATGCAAGAGCTAAATCTGACTATTGCAGGTATTTTTAGGCCTGAAATGTTTTCTAAATTATTAATTAGACATTAATTAACTGATATAGGCCATAATCAACTATTGATGGCATCGGATTTCTCCGAAATTAAATAGATTAGAACGGTTCAGCCGTGTTTTGATTTAATTTAAAAATGGAGGAACGAGACTTAGCTTCAAACAACCAGTGAGGTGGTTGAAATTAGTGCACACGTCTTGTCAAACCTTCAAAGACTAATATCTTCGCTCGCAATAGAGTAATTTGAATATTTATCCAAATATGGTTCAATTCTGTTCAGTATTTACAAAGATGAGATTAATTTAAAATTTAGCAATACTCGGCATCCCATGCAGACAATAAAAACTAGATATCAAAATGAGCAAAAACCAAAATGGCCTATGTTCCACTTAATCACAACAACCAAAGATAGGTTGCCAGGCAACAAAACATACGCCCACAGTGTCCCATATTTCTTTCTTTTGTCAGTAATGAGAACATTTACAACACATAAAAATCTGATTATAAGTAATAACTCAAAGTAATTATCAGAAAACATTAGAATTTGTTTTGATTGTTTGTCTCATGACCTTAAACAATTTATATTAACTTTAGCCTCTAGAACGTCCACAAGATTTTTCCATGTGATCAAGGGCCATAACTTTGGCAGTAATTTTCGGAAATCGTGAAAATCAATTGGATTTTGCATCTCATGACCTAAAACATTGTGAAGAAATTTAAATTCAATCGGATATTAACTTTAGCCTCTAAAGCGTCAACAAGATATTTCAAAAAGATCAAGGATCGTAAATCTGGCAGTAACTATCGGAATCACTGAAAATCAATAGGCTTCAGCGTCTCATGATCTTAAACACTGTGTATAAGTCAATCGGATATTAAGTTTAGCCTCTAAAGCATCCAAAAGATTTTACAAAGTGTTCAAGGGCCATAACTCTGGTAGTAATTATCAGAAATTGCTGAAAATCAACAGGATTCTTCATCTCATGACCTTAAACAGTGCATATAAATTTGAAGTCAATTGTGTATAAATTTAAATTCAATCGGATATTAACTCTACCCTCTAGAGCATCCACAAGGTTGTTCAAAGTGATCAAGGGCCATAACTATCAGAAATCGCTCAAAATCAATAGGCTTCTTCATCGCCTGACCTTAAAGTAGCTAAGTATCTAACTCAATATCATCCAAAATCTTCAACATTGTAAACACAAATTATTTGTCAATTTAAATCAACATTGATACTGTGATCTTACCGGGAAAAGATGGACTTCTCATATCCAATATTTAAAACAAAATAAACATTTTACCATTGGTACACGAATCGTGTACCATAATGCGTTTCAGCCCCAGTTCTAGTAAGAGACTCGAGGAACGAGGCTAGACATATTGCACCAAACCAAATGGCGTTTGTAGACTGGAATAACCAGGCGCTAGAAATTTGCATTCGATTGAGACTGCTGGCTTATTTCGCGGAACATTAACTGATTTGAAATTAGAGTAAAAACGGAAACCATTGAATGTATATCAGTTTATATACATTCATATTACAGTATTATATGAGTTGAGACCAACTTGTGTCAATTTCTAGGTCCCAAATGTTAGCGATTTAGCTCCTTTCAAGTTAAACACTGTGTATAAATTTAAAGTCAATTTGATATTAACTTTAGCCTCTTGAGCGTCCACAAGATTTTTCAGAGTGATCATGGACCATACACTGTAACTTTGGCAGTAATTATTAAAAATCGCTGCACATCAATAGGCTTCTTTGTCTCATGACCTTAAACACTGTGTATAAATTTAAATTCAATCGGATATTAACATTAGCCTCTAGAACATCCACAAGCAATAGTGGATGCCAATAGGGGGTGACGACAATATACAACCACATTTCAATGAGGGCGTATAAAAATGTGGTCAAATTTGATCAAAATATATATTGAATCGTGATTTTTTTATGGCCATTACGATGCACAGAGGCTTTAATAATAACATTAAATAATATTGATAAACTGATTTGAGTTCAGTACTTATTTACTTACAGTTTTAGACATGCCTTCTTTACAGATAGTATCAATATTTAATGGGGTTAGCTGAAATATATAAAATTAACATATCAAACAGTTTAGCTATTTATTGTTCAAAAGCTTTATTTTAACATCAAGTGTGAATAGAAAATCTTTAATGACATATTGTAATCAATTTAAGTAATATGTACTTTATTTTACTTATAAAACAATATTCTCACCTTTTCTTCTTTCATTAGTTCCTCTTCTTTCTTTTTCCATTCAGCTTCCTGTTTTTCTAAATCAGACATTTCTATTTTCAGTTTTTCTAAGTCTGCTGACAACTCACGCTGGTTATTATAAAACACATCATATCAATACATTCACATAGTCCTAACCATTTCAGTAACAATAATACAAAGTAACAAAATACATTTAACATCTACCCATAATAAGCGTGATTAATCTTTGATAAGAATATATTGTAAATCAATTTATGAATTATTAAAATATAGGTTGCCAGTGTCAATAAATAAGCCCAACAACGACAAAGTTGTCATTACAATGTATAAAGTTAGTGATAAATTGAAAGCTAATGGTACAAAAGACTTCTATCAATGACTGAAAGAAAGGAAATTATCATATCCATAGTCTTAACCTTGTAGTGAGTGCCCCCTCAATATAAATGTTCATTTATTTACGTCCAGACGTGGGTCTCCCAAACAAAAAGATTAGTACCACAGGGTAGGATATTAGAAATAAAACCATGAAAGTAATGTTGTAGTGCCCACAATATGAATGGTTGGTACTCTAGCCACAACCTCATATTGTTAACTATCAGCTGTAGGACATCTTCGTCCTAGGAACCCAGTTTATAAAGCACTAGATGTTCAGGAACTCTGTAGTCAAATGTGTTAACAAAGTTTTGCAAAGCAAACGTATAATGTTTGGAAATTTTTCAAAATCAACAGTCATAATGTCATTTGATGATTGACGGTCATATCTGAGGAATATTAGCTTTTTCAGCCAATATTTAATATAAGCATATTGAGCTAACTGCAGCAAAATCGAAAGGGGCATCATGTTTACTTCATTGGGAGATTTGACACAAAATGTCCATATTGTCCTTTACAGTAATGACAAGATCTTGTGATTGTAGGGGGAGGGGGGGGTAACTCTTGATGGTTTTGTCAGATATTCCAAATCAATAAAAGTTATTATACAAAACGCATCAGTAATCAGGAAATTAAATTGTTTGAGTTATGAACTTAAACTCAATGTAAATATTTTAAGTCAAACGGATGATAAATTTAGCTTATGGCCCGCCTTCCATGTACACGTTTCAGCACATTTTTCTGCCTGCGAAAAAGTCAGTATAATGCAAATGTATTGTGACAGTTTCCATGTAAGTTTTTCAGCTTTTCCACTTGTGTTTTTTCTTGCGTAAAGTTTTCACATGCAGATTTTTATGTTCTGACGTACAAACATGGGTTCTCTTTCATTAAGACAATCAACTGCTCTTTTCTGCAAATTCAGCGTAAAGGCAGATTTTTTTGACAAGTTATTATAAAAAGGAGGGTTCCATGCTGTAAACAGAAATCCTCCCTTATGACGTCATTTACATGGGATTCCCCAAACTTTTCAGTGATTTTTCTGTACACATGGAAATACAAAAAATCGCTAGCAGAAACAGGGACATGGAAAGTGGGACTATATGCTTCTTGGACTCATTGATGACAATATATGACCACATTATAAAAACATTATGTACCTTCAGTACAATTGTATCATTATTAAATTATAATATAAAAACATACTTTTGCATCTGCTTCTTTCAATTTCCTTTTTACTTCTTCCAATTTTTGTTTATGACTGAAAAAAAAAAATAGTACCAGTACTAAATACGTTTAGGCGACTGAAACGGTAAGATATGTTTAACAACGGCTTTGCCTGTTTCACATTGAATCCTATTCATTATTTGACCCCAAAAAACTTTAGTATGTTACTGCCTTAAACCAAGCCAATGACTATAGCCTACATCCTATGATAATCCTTTCATATATGAACAATTTGACCTGGGCCCAAATACACCCATGAACCAAATTCAGCCTGGGGTCCAAATCCACATTCACGGGGTCATGCTGGTTAATTTGATAGCACATATGTGGGGGTGAAGTACAGCGACAAAGCGTGATGGGTGAATACATACATGTACATCTTTGATTTTATTTATATATCGTAGATGATAACATTACAGCGTGATTCACCCGGGGGCCCAAATTCAATGGCCTAAAACATTCATGGGGTCATGCTGGTTCATTTGATACCACTTATGTGGGGATGGAGAGCTGTGAAGAAATTGTTTAAGTGGCATTTAGTAACTGGATGAGAATAACACATGACACAATTATATGGAATATAAGTTACTTAAAGAGTTTATTACAGCGACGATTCGACGAGGGTTCTCCCGTCTTTGTCAAGCAAAGCTGTGAAGAAGCGTGATGGGTGAACATACACACATACATACACACATCTTTGATTTTATTTATATCATAGATTATTTACCTTAAATATCCTTTTTCGAATGACTCCTTTTTTTGTTGAGCTTGTGCCATTCTCTCCAATCTAGCATCATGCTTCCATCGATACAAACTTGCTGTATCAATATTGGGATGTGTATCATCTTCATCATCACTGATCTATAAAAATGAAATGGTTTAACATCCTGGTATTCTTCTTCGACGTGGCGGGGGTGGGGGGGGTGGATGGCCAAATGGTTATAAGGTCTGTCATTGAGTCAACTGGCGTAGTTTCGATCCCCAGTTGTACGTGACAAGGAGTAGGGTCGCCTGTCCAACATCGTGGGTTTTCACCGGGTCCTCTGGTTTCCTTCCACAGCTAAAGTCCCCTACGCGCAAGCGAATTATTGAAATAAAATTAAAACCATGTGTTAGTCCTGAAATGACCTAGTCTGAGTCGTGTGGATGTTAAATGCCACAAGGCGAGGGAGAATAGGCTATTTGTAATTCATATAGATCAGTGCTCCAAGTATTGTAATCTAGCCAAGCCGAGGGAGAATAGGCTATTTGTAATTTATATAAATCAGTGCACCGAGTATTTGTGTGATAGAAACAGTAGTTATTTCAGTAAAACTGAGTCTGGTAAGTGGTAAATATAATAAAGGATTCCATCCTTGCACCAAACAAGCTATCATATGAAGCTGGGAATTGCCCAGACAGCCTCTCCAGCTAAATTTTCTTTGAATTCCAACTGCCAAGGGCTATTTTCTATGCATGCCAATGTGTGCAAATTACCTCGGTTTTCCGTTTCATGCAAATAACTTGATGTTTCTTGCCTGGACCTACATCCAGCATGACTAATAAGGGGCAACCAGAACTGTGTTGGGAGAAATCCTAGGACATGTCAGTGTGAAAGTGTCTACTTGGGTGTGCTGCCATTAGGTAGCACGCATATCAGTCCTGTGTCATTTCAGACTCAACACAAACAATGTTTCAGACTTACTTGGCAACTCTCTGGGCTGGGTCTGTTGAAGTTTTGGACTCGGTTTCGGACACAATAAAGTCAAAAGACTGTGTAGGCTACGTATAATAGTAATAACTGCCGTTTTATTTGTTTACTTTTAGGTGAGGCTGACGACAGATTTTGGGCTTGGTTTTGGACTCAATAAAATATATCCTAGTAACAGTTGTTTTTTCTTTCGTGTGAGCGAAGAAAGATTATTTACAATAATAAAGAAATTAAACATTGTTAACCACTGATACTTGTGTTTTGTATTATTTAATTGATCAGCGATTGTTGTATTTAATTGATCAGCGATTGTTGTATATAATCTGGAATTGATTAGTGAAACAATTTTGATGATTAAGTTGGGGTTATTGACGATAATTGATCGCAAATTCTTAAAGCCGTTAATAAACGATTGAAAAATAAAAACACTGCTACTTGCCTTCTGTTGTATTTAATCTGGTTGATAAGTAAAACCAAACTGAGGTTATAAACGATAATTCAACTTATCCCCGAATCCGAAACATTTTATAAGATAAATGTATGACCGACTGAGGTTATATTTATAATTTTGTCAAACGAATAATATATAAGTTATAAATCGTTGTTATCGTTTTATACTATGTCTTTTGGTAAATAAAAGTTATTATTTATTGACTGAATTGATGTTTGTGTTCATCCATTCCTTACAACTTATCCCCCCCCCCCCTGAATCTGAAACGTCGAGGCCGTATTTTTTTTTTTAGTACGAAATGTTGTAAGTCCGAAATGACACGGACCGAAATGACATGTAATCCTGCCATTATACTTGCAAACGTGTCGTCTATGCTTCTGTCGCTGTTGCAAACAAACAATATAATGTTATTAAGACTTTATGAATGGAACCGTTCCAACGTACTACTACACTACTGTCTGTTCCAGGTGACACTACGACACGAAAATTGCATGCCATTTCTTCAATTTTTAATTAAAACGGCTAAAACTTAGTGACATACCTGAAATTGCCATCCCATTACTTTCTTGCACGAGAGAACCAATTTCAGATCAAACTATATAACCTCTCTCTCTTGAAAAAATCGTGGTTTGTTGACACCACATTACTGAACATCAGCAATGTTTGATCTAGTTATCAGAAATAGTCGATTTGGGCAGGGGGCGCTGGTTTGGCTTTGAATCGTTTCGGCCTACTTGGCTGTTAATTAGTTGTTTCGGACCCTGGTTGCTCAAAACTAAGTTATTTTAACGATCCGTTAGAGTTTAACGGATCGTTATCTTGGTAACTTGTCGTTTGTTAACGGTCCGTTAAATTTCTGTTGCTGGAAAGTCAATTTCATTATCTGTTAGCTAACGGATTCATTAAAGTTAATCCAAGAGAATACTGTTTGTTCATTGGCTGAATTTTAAATTTTTGAATTCAATGTACATGTATAACAACTTCATAGAAGTTAGTATTAACAATAAACTGAAGACAGTGAGACAACTAACTGTGCAGTCTGTTCACAAAACTTGATTCAAGACAATAAGAAAACTAGAATTTACTACAGAAAACACCATAGAAGAATACTTTATTTTTTCCTTTAGAAATTTTAGCATAAATCTGTAGGAAAAATTATGGGATTTGCACTACAGAATTATGCGGCCATTACAGGCCACCAAAATTCTGTAAAATAGTATAGAATTTCATCCTATAGAAAATGGAATAGGCCCACATCGCCCAACCCTCTAGAATGTTCTATAGAAAATTACATAGGAACAATGTAATCTATGACTTTTTGCTACAGCCAACTAATGCCATCATTAAACAGATAACGGAGACCAACACCTCTGTTAAATATAACGCCAAGTTAACTACACGTTAAAGTTAACGGGGCTTCCAGCAACAACCTTTCTCTCCATTAAAGTTAATGATCCGTTAACTCCATGTTAACGGATCGTTAAAAGATAACAGAGCTTTGAGCAACCGGCCCCAGCATTATTATTTAGTTTATACGCTAAAACTGTTTTAGTTTATACGCTAAAACTGTATCGCCATAGGGAGATAATTTAGATAAAAATATCTATTTACAGCCGATCAGAACCTATGTACTTTTGAAAAAGTCCTTGATCTCAAAAACTGAGTGAAAAATAAGCAGGTGGAAACAACATAATATTAATCAGACCAAAAAAAAATGAGTGTTTAATACAAGATTCAGAGTGTGATCTATAAATAAGTATTACTACCGCAAAAGAAATGGGCGAACTTTCCTTCACTAAATATTTCTAACAGAATGTACCCGATTTGGAGATCCCGGTTTGATTACCCTTTACGCAAAATGCAAGTGTCTCATTACGCAGACACATTCTATAATGTTTATGTTTTGTGAAAGAAACTATGTCGAAATATATGTTAAATTTACAAGAGAATAGAACTTAGAAGAAGTAAATTCTATCGAACTTCTAGGCTAATTAAGGCTCGACGAAGAGTGCAACGGGATGACTATTTCAGGTATGTCACCAAGTTTTGGCCGTTTAAATTAAAAAAATGAAGAAATGACGAGAAATTTTTGAGTCGGAGTATCTCATGGAACAGAGAGTAGGATTAGATCTACATACATGTATGTACACAACCAATTAAAAGCCTTCTTGAAATAAAATTAAAATCTTATGAAGAAAGGATCTTCACTAGATCTATTGCCTATAGGCTATTTGAATGTTTGTTTTTACCTCAATGTGATCCCATTTACTATAATTGATTGTTGTCATTATGTATTGATATAACGAATTTCTCTGTCCGGTATCTGAAAATAGGAAGCAATAAAAGACCAATGTTTTTCTTTTGCGAGAACTTTCTGCTCCAACCAAGGAAGTGATAGTATGCCTTTGGGATATGGTCATAACGGCATAAGCCATAACGGCCAAAATCCAATGCGTCAAAACGGCCGTTTTTGGGTGATAGTACGACCTAGTTTACTCATAACGACCAAACAGTTTGTTCATAACGGCCAAAAATTTGGTCATAACGGACTAACAATAACATTTTAGTCATAACGGCCAAACAATATTAATTTTTGATGAAAAACAATATATTTTATAAAACGTTACTTAAAGATACATTATGGGAGATTCGGTAACGAGTTGGCAGTTCTCACTATAATAGTTAAAAACTAGATAAGGTAGAAGGCAATTTGGTGAAAATTTCATTCCAATTGATCCACTATGAAACGAGAACAAAGCGACTGTGATTCCCATAAGCCTCGGTCATCATTACTAAAGTCAGTACGATAAACAGCATAGTCTCGATCATCCATTTAATCGTTTAATGAGAAGGAAAGTTATGCAGTAAATCGGCTTACAATCCACTAAAGATCGCAGGCTAACGCAGCCATCTAGAGTTGATTATGGCCTGGATAGGTTAATTAATGTCTAATTAATAATTTAAATAACATTTCAGGCCTAAAGAAAGACCTGAAATAGGCAGATTTAGCTCTTGCATAATGCATGTTTAATTACTATTATTAAAACCAACTTACTTATCATCGTTGAAAATAACAAATGACAAAAATAACCGAATTATCATGGTTTCAATTAATCAGCCTATCCATTTAAAATGCTCCTTTACCTTGATTATCTCCAACTAGTAATAAATGTGCCGTTTACATTGTAGAAAAAATGTCAGGAAAAATCAATATGCCCCCCGAAAAAAAATTGCCGACCATATATAGCTCTAAAATAACTACTGCAGACTGTGCCCCCCCCCCTAAAAACTTCACTGCCCCTCCGAAGCTAGCAAGCTGGCTACGGGCCTGGCTGTGATATTTGTGTGGAAAGGGGTGGGGACTAATTAATCAACTGATTGGATAATCCATAATTAAGTACTTCACATCGCACTAATCCGATTAGGTAACATGAGCTGAACATTAATCCAGGTTTGTAAAATCGGCCCAAACTAATCCATTTAGGCCAGAAGCGTTTATTCGAAAAAGACGCGCATAGAGTTTTTGGTCTCTATAGTTAGTTAGTGTTAGTTGTATTTTACGTCCGCTTCCACCGTAAATTTTCTTTATGGTGAGACACAATTTCATACTGCACGCAGCGATCCGTCTACGTCATACTTCGAGAATAGATCACTGCCCTAAATGCCGTCCATTTAAAACAAAAACGCTCACGTGATCATTTAGGGGCGGGACTTATCGACTGGACTTTTGCCATGTATTACACAACAGAGTAAAAATAACCCAAAGCACGTGTTTTATGTAAACACATATGTCAAGTTGGCAATATGTCAACTTCTGCAACTCCGGTAAAAGCGATATATAATATGTGCTAGTGGGTAATATTGCAATACAGTCTTTACCATTGTAAACTGTCTTTACCATTGTAAACGGTCTTTAGAGGTTCAATCTGTTTATCTTTCAAAACAAGGTTAGATACTCCTAATATTTGTCTTCGCAAACAAAACCGCCTCGGTGAAATTCTCTTTCATGGGCGCCGCCATATTGAATAATTAGAGGACTATTTTGTGATTCGGCTCTGATTGGTTTGACATCTTTCATACACACAACGGTTAAATAAACATATTTAATTTCATTCAATATGACCACAGTAGAGAAATAAATACTTCTAAAAATTTCTAAAAGCATACTCAGTGTTTTCGACTAAAATCGTTGATGTAGGAATTAAAATGTTGGTTAATTAGGTTAAGGCCTGTTCAGTCCCCTTATGAAAAAGTCCTATAGAAAAAGTACAGGTTTCTATAGAAGTTTGTGGGATTCTATAGAATGCTATAGAATGCTGCAGGAAAACGAAATCATTCTGTATTTTTTTTTACATGACTATAGATTCAAAAACATGTACTATAGTTTTGTGTAGGATTGGTAGATGAATATTTTCCAATTGTAATTTCCTATAGAATACTGTAAGAAAATATTGGAAAAAAAATAAACCTACAGATTCATTGGTGCTGCAATAGTTTTCTGTAGAACTAACTTGTATCCTCGAGTCAGTTGAGTAATCCTTCAGTTTTCTATAGCCTTTGTGCTAAAAACTATAGTTTGCAATAGAACTAACTTGTATTCTCATGTCAGCTGTGATTCCTATAGTTTTCAATATAACTAACTTATTGTCTCAAGTCAGTAGTATATTCCTATAGTTGTCTATATATGAAATTCTGTTGAAAACTAAGAATTTATATGTATACTGTACTTAAACCATTTTAACAAATATCCTACTATAGTTTCCTACATAATATTGTAGAAACAATGTTCTATACTACAGATTTCATAAATTGGTGATGTCTTTGATTCATACTATAGTTTACAATAGAATTTAGTGATGCACTTGTGTGAATTATGTAAACTTTTCCAACATAATTTTCCTGGATGCAGTTTTCCTTATTTATTGTGATACCAAATGGCAAACTAAAATAAGCTTACCACGAAAAATAAAATATAAAGTATAAAATAGTGTATATAATATGAATGAAATAGTGATACATGTTGAAACTCAAAGGAATTCTCCACCCCACCCTCCAAAAAATGCCAGTAAATGTAGATGTTCACAACAAAAATATCAGATAATAAATTATTCTTCAGATACGTCAATGAAATAAAGACACAGTTTATTTGAACACAATCTGACTGTTAGGTGATCTGCTAGTTAGATTTTAATGACTATAGCAGATTCTGTACTCAGATTCTGTCAACCGTGCATACCTGTCGACATACTATAAATAACAGCGGATGTACTCTCTTGAAATCTGTTTGGCCATTGGCTGATTTTAAAATTCAAAAATTCAGTGTATAACAACTTAATATGTTAGTAGTATTAACAAGAAACTGAAGAGAATGGTGGTGTTTTTTTCACAAATTCGATTAAAGATAGAAAGATAAGTATACTTTATTACTTTCTTAACAATAATATTAAATTACTTTAATTAGATAAGATTTATGTGCTTTTGTTATTTATTTAACTTTATTACCTATTCTTTTCCCTATATTTCAGTTTTACCAAGAAAAGAACTTTTCATGATTCTGGTTGGTGAATCATCAACAGAATTCAGATTAATCCATGAGAGAAAAAATAAGCTTATCAATTTAAAAGAATCCATGAGAGAAAAATAAGCTTATCAATTTAGAAGAAATCATGGGCCAACTATATTTATTCCAAAATAAGATTTAATTAAAAAAAAGTCTATAGAATTCTATAGTACCCATTCCTACAGAAAACTATAGTGGCCCAATTTCCAAACTACAGAATACTACAGTATTCATTCCTGTACATAACTGTAGAATTTCCTACAGAAAGTGCAATAAAAAAAACCCTATAGAATACTATAGTATTTTCCTATAGATATTTTGCCATAAATCTGTAGAAAAAAACTATAGGATGTGCGCTACAGAAACTGTAGAATATTTGGGGCCATTATTTCCTACAGGCCCCCAAAATTCTGTAAAACACTATAGAATTTTATCCTATAGAAAATGGGACACGCCCCCCAAAAAACTCTATAGATTTTCTATAGAATTCTACACTGGACGGGCGGAGCTAGCTGTAGACAGAGAGCCTAAGTTTGGGATGACATAATTTATGCCACTTCACTCAGAGAAAGAGAAATAGGGTTTAACGTCCACTCGACACAGACTAGGTCATTTCGGGACTACATATGGTTTAATTTTATTTCAATAATTCGCTTGCGCGAAGGGGTCTTTAGCAGTGGGAGGAAACCAGAGGACCCGGGGAAAACCCACGAGGTTGGACAGGCAACCCTACTCCTTGTCACGTACAACCGGGGATTCGAAACCCCACCAGTTGATTCAATGACAGGCCTTATGATACAGAGTTATTTATTGAAAAATTATGGTGGCTGATTGGTATCATGTCGTGACATTATAACCCGACATCACGACATTTTTAACCCGACACTACGACATTTTCACCCGACACCACGACATTAAGAATGACGTAATGTCGCGTAAAAATTTCGTATTGTCGCGTAAAAATGTAGTGATGTCGGGTTGTCGACTTTATTTATGAATGTTGAAGCGGCCATGAATAATAGAGTGCTGTCCCTTGTATGACACAATAACTGGAATTTCGTATTTCGCCCCACCCCCACCACTACCTTTAATTCAGCCAGTGAAGGCTACCAAACTTGTATCAATTTTAATTTAAAAAAGTATATATGCATTCCGCCGAAAATATAATAAATACATTTAAGAGAGGATTAACTTTAGGCCTACTTTTCAGTATAGATATACGGAATTTTTGATTGCCCCCCATTTTTATTTCAAATACCCCCCCCCCCCATTTCACTTTTCAAGGCGAGTAAATATAAATGTGCCAGAAAATTATTTATATATTTGAAAAGAGTTATAGTCTGGAGTTCTCTGTTATAGTCTGGGGTTCTCTAGTTCGGTCCTATGGCGTTGGCCGAGAAAGTTCCTCTGAATTTTCCAGGTTGGTTTCCTCTTGTCAGTGGGACAGGGCGGACTGCCTGACCACGACCGACAGCTGTCTAGTTGTTCGGATGGAAAAAAGCACGTGGTTTCAACGCCCTAATCATAATACTTATATAACCAGCGTCAAACATATATCCTGTTTCCCATATGCTACTAATCGACTGGGTTCCATACAACCCAAGATGTCTTGGCGGCCGTGGGAGAGATAAATATTGGGTCGTGTCCCCACGGGATCTGGCTTCTCGTGCAAAATCATAGTGATCAGTCTGTCCGTTTGCTTTCTATCCCGAAGGGAGAGAGAGAGAGAGAGAGAAATGGGGTTTAACGTCCACTCGACATATAAACTAGTTCGGGACTAATACATGGTTCAATTTTATTTCAATAATTCACTTGCGCGTAGGGGTCTTTAGCAGTGGGAAGAAACCGTAGTGTCGGGTGAAAATGTAGTGTCGGGTTAAAAATGTCGTGATGGCGTGATGTCGGGTTGTCGGGTTGTCGCCTTATGAAGGGCGACACCACGACATCACGACATGATACCAATCAGCCACCATAAAATATAGTAGAAACTGACAAGAAGAAATATTTAATTCATAGAGTGAATATAGAAAAGCCATTAGTGTTTCAATTCTTTTATGAATTTGAACCAGCGTACATGGTCCTTTCGTGTAATTATTTAATATGAACTCTTGTTGATTATACCTCTTTGATTGATGGTATCTGTGTTATATATATAATATATATAATTATGTGATCTATGAATTATGTGATAATATTTATGTTAGATATTAGTACAAATGTTAATTACAGAAAGAGAGAGAGAAATAGGGTTTAACATTCACTTTCCACAAACTAGGTCATTTCGGGACTAACATAATTATGGTTCAATTTTATTTTAATGATATTCGTTTGAAGATGTGTTATGTATTCTATGTAAATTATGTATTAAATCAATGTCCATATAAATTATGTATTAAATAAATGTCTAAATGTATATCAATATGCATTAAATAAATGTCTATATAAATTATGTCCATGCAAATGTTTGTGTAAATGTTTCTTTTTTGGCTGTTACGACCAAATTTGTTGGCCGATATGACCAAATTGTGTGGCCGTTATGATCAAAATGTTGGTCGTTATAACCAAATTTTTTTTTGACCGTTTTGGTTTTTGGCCGTTATGTCCATCATCCGGTGATTTCCCTTCTTTGAACTCATTCTACAAAAGTCCCTAAATGGTGGAAATTTCCAACAGGATTGGTAATAACTTCTGTGCGTATACTTAAAAGGTCCCTAAATGACGGAAATTTCCAGCGGGATGGATAATAACTTCGTAGTAGGCAGTTATTTTGGGTGAGTGTCACACAAAGGGTAGCTACGAGTACGTCGCTAAAAACGTTGTGAGGGTTGAGAAATGAGGTTTGTTATCTATGTGGGGAGTGTCTATGCTAAATAATAATAATAAGTTAGGCCTTATGATCCAAGATCCATTTATAATTTAATGACCAACAAAGGACCAAGGTAGGCCCAACACGGAAAAGAAAGTATAATCAATATTCAAAATAAAATAATCCCCATTAAAGGCTCAATACCACTCTTGGTGTAACTGAATAATATGACCCAATCTTTATTCTGGTCAACAAATTGTACTATTTTAGAATATTTCAATTAATTGATGATACAAATTTCATCTTAACACACCTTATTTAAAAATTTTGAAAAATTCAACATAATGGTTTGAAACGTCTAACGTAAACCTTTTCAAATGAAACTTCGATTTAAAAATATTTTCGAACCCTCTGGACAAGTAAAATAGGATGTAATGGATAATTTACACAACAGGTAGGACACTTAAACATCTAGTACTTAGATAGAGATATTATTTATTTTCTGGAGCTTTCAAGCCAGCAAGAGTGTTATTGTCCCTTTAAAGGAATGGAGTATACATACCAGATGGTGAATCTACCAAATATATCCTGTGAGCCTTATAAAGATTGTACCCTGGTGTTGTTGTAGCCCTATGAATATATAATAAAAATCTTTTTTGTTTTATTTCGAAGAAAGCAGAGAAGTATTAGAATTAGTTCATCTGTCAGTCTGTCTCACTACTTTGATGACTCTATCAAGTTTGATGATGAACATTTTCTCTGTAGGCCTATACTTGTAGAGTGATAAGCAATTTGATTGATAAAGACTTTGGGACACTTTAATTAGGGTTTCACACTGCGTAGCTTGTGTGAAACACTATTGTTTTTGTTAAGATTATTCTTATTATTATTATTTTTTTTTTTTTCCAATTTGATTGTATCTCAGAAACTACATGTCAAATCGATACGATTTCTCCGGTTTTATTGAGAGAGTGGGTGTGACTTAAAGATTAAAGGTATTTTGGGCATTCTGTGACAACGCGAAATGTCCGAAATCACCGAAGTTGTCGTTTTTTAAAAAAATGTCGTAGTATTAACAATAATTATCGAATTTTAACATATGATGCATTTTGACATAGCCGGAGACCAGGCACATAGCTGTGCTACTTTTGATTTTTGATATTAAGCGCCAAATTTCGAAAATTTAAAATTTTACAAAAAACTTTTTTATTTATGAATATTTTTATATGGCATTTTAACCAGGGTTGAACAGTTATCCGATTTGACTAAAAATGTCAAAAATTTTTGTGTCCGTAATTTTCCTTGGTCGCCATTGGCTAATTCAGTTTTTCAGTCCTAGATTAATTATTTATTATTCGATTTGTACAAAAGAAAGTTCATATGCTGCGTGGTCCAAAATGTCATTTTTTTTGTTACCGGTAAAGATTCGTGTCGGCACCGGAAGTGAAGTAAAATCAGCAAAAACTACAATTTTGACAGATTTTGACAGTTCGGTACAACTTTTTGAAAGGAAATATTATTTTTTCAAAATTTGATATTACCAAAAGTATACGCCATGCAAAGGCGCACAAATCATCGGACTCAGTTTTTTTAATTTTGATTTCGTTTTCCGGCTATTTCGATTTAAAGGTGAAAAAAGGTGTAAAATTAAGCTATTTACAACCCATCCACCGTCTTCATATTTCAAAATATTTCATCGTAACTTTCATAACCTCGTAGCAATAACCCATACAAAGAGAATGTATGTCAAAATTAGTTTGTAATATCAGCAGTTGTCGAGAAATAGGCAATTTTGCATGAGTCACATTTCGTGCTATTTTGCCTGTACAAGAATCAATTATTATTCAATTTTCAATTTTCTTTCACCATTTGATGCTGAATGCCACGTTTGACTAGATTAAACCATTTTAACACCTTTACTGTCACCGGAAATGACGTTGTTTTGGCAAAAACCAAATTTTAGCCTTCAAAACCAATATTGTTTTCAAATGAGTCGTATATGTTATTTGTTTAAAAGTATGATATTTAATTTCAATCAACAAATAGAATGAACCCATACGACCATATAGATACCACAAAATGGGTTCTAACTTGTAAGGTTTCAGAGAAATAGACGATTTTCTACTAGTCACATTTCAAGGTTTTTGGTCTATAACAGTGTCAAATATTATTCGATTTTCATAAAATTTTCACCATGTGATGCCTTATGCCATTTCTGATTTCATAAAACTAATTTAACATTTTCATTCTCACCGGAAGTAATGTCATTGTAGCAAAAACTGTATTTTTAGCCTTCAAAACAAATATTTTTTTGAAGTGAGTTATATTTAGTATTCGTTTACCATTATGATATTTCATTTCAATGGAAATATAGATTGGATCAATACGATCATAAATATGTCAAAAAATAGCTTCTAACATCTTCTTTTGCAAAGAAATAACCAATTTCGTCAGGATCACTTTTTAAGACTTTTGGCATTTTTATTACAGTTTATGGGTTCTAAATTAATTATTTATTGCCTGATTTGTATAAAACAAAAGCTCATATACTCCATGGTGCAAATTCTCAACTTGTTTCTACCTATAAAGTTTTATGTCGGCACCGGAAGTGACGCAATTTTGCCTAAAATTTAAATTTTGATGGGTTGGGAGGTCTTTTCCTAAGGAAAAATCTTGATTTCTACAAATCTTATCAATGAAGATGAATCCTCCTACTACAGGCGCAAAATATGTCGGACTTAGTTTTTTGGGGCTTTTTTTTTATATCAGTTTTGTATTTGCGCCATTTGGATTTAAGGTTGAAAAAAGGAGTAAAAATCAGCTATTTACAACCCATTCATCGTCTTCATATTTTAAATTATTTCTACGCAACTTTCATAATTTTGTAGCATTAATCCATACGAGGGCAATGTATGTCAAAATTAGATTGTAATATACGCAGTTGCAAAGAAATAGACAATTTTGCATGCGTCACTTTTCACGTTATTTTGCATGTAAAAGCGTCAATTATCGTTCGATTTTCAATTTTTGTTACCATGTGTTGCCTCATGCCACCTTTGACTAGGTCAATACAATTTAACATTTTCACTGTCACTGAAAATGACGACATTTGGGCAAAACCCCATACGACCATACAGATATCACAAAATGGTTTCTAATTTGTTCGGTTGCAGAGATATAGGTTTTGGTCTATAAAAGTGTCAATTATTATTCGATTATCATAAAATTTTCACCATGTGAGGCCTTATGCCGTTTATATTTTCATAGAATTAATGTAAAAATTTTATTATCACCGGAAGTAATGTAATTTTGGCAAAAACTGTATTATTAGCCTTCAAATTGTTTTGAAGTGAGTTATATTTATCATTCGTTTAACATTATGATATTTGATTCCAATGGACATATAGATTGGATCAATACGATCATATAGATGTCCAAAAATTTCTTCTAGCACCTTCCCTGGTCGAGAAATTCCCCATTAAAAAGTCAGCTAACTTAGCGGTAAGTTAGTAACAAATTTTGTAAGGGTCACTTTTTTGACATGTAACAAATGTATAAATGAAATTAATCTTGCTGGGTAACTGGCACCGGAAGTGACATAAGTTCAAGGGTAATGTGGCACCAGTGAAACCCGTCATTACTGCATCGCAGTTCTAGTTTTGATTGTAATTGAATTAGGGCGGTAAATGGTGTATTTGATGCCTAGCCTGTATTTTTATTACTTTTCAATATTGACAGATTTCGATGATGTGCAGTTTTTGCGTACGGTAGGCTAAAAAAGAGAGAGAGAGTGAAATGGGGTTTAACGTCCACTCGACACAAACTAGGTCATTTCGGGACTAACACATGGTTTAATTTTTTTATTTCAATAATTCGCTTGCGCGTACAACGTACAACCGGGGATTTGAAACCACGCCAGTTGACTCAATGACAGACTTTATGGTACAGCGCCACGTGCTAAGCTTTCAGCCACCCAACCCCCGGTTAGGCTAAAGAAGTGATAAGCAATTTGATTGGTGAACAAAATAAAAAGGATAAATCTAGTGATCGTCTCCATGCTTTCAGTCAATTTTGTCCAATTTCTAGTGGGGAATCACGGTGGCTAAGTGGGTAAAACGCTGACACGCTAGCCTGGAGGTCGGATGTTCGACCCCTGCATTGGCTGAGAAAGTTCACCCAGATTTTCCGCCGTGGTTCCCCCTTGTCAGTGGTGCAGGATGGAGGGCCTGACAAGGACAGCTGTCTAGTCATTCGGATGATACGAAAAATTGAGGTGCTGTGTACACATTGGCGTGCACTTAAAAGATCCCTTGACAGTTGGAATTCGATATAAGAGTAGGCCGTAGTGCTGCTGTATGGTGTATGCCCGTCTTCATTAGCCCAGTTCAAAGCAAAACAGTAGGACGTTAAACCCTATTTCATTTCATTTCATTTCCAATTTCTAGTAATTACTGTACTCCACACTACCGCAGACTATACATTTATCATCTGTTAAGGAGCCACAGTGAACAAGTGGGTAAGATCTTGTCTAGCTAACCTGGAGGTACTGTGTTGGCCGAGAAAGTCCATCAGGATTTTCCGGCGTTGTTCCTCATTGTCAGTGGTGCAGGACCGAGGGTCTGGCAAGGGACACTTATAGTCGTTGGGATGGGACGAAAAACCGAATAGGCTGTAGCGCCGGTATCCAGGCAAAATTTCTCTCATAGCGCACTGTATGATGCCTGTCTTAATTAGCCTAGTCGGCGCAAAACAGTAAGACGTTAACCCATTTTATTTCATTTCATTTTTATCATCTGATCAATTCAAAATTTATATATATGGCATTATGAGATGAATAATTAAAATGATTTCGTCTAACTTCTAGGGTTATTGCCCTTGTCCATTTCAGAATTTTCTTGTAATTAATTGAGACCAGAAGTAACAAAATTTATTTTCCAATCTTCTTGACATTTATGCATTGTTTCAATTTTAAATTAATGAAACACAGAATCCTTTTAATTACTTCTCTAGTTATGTCCCTTGTTCTCCTTGTAAACGCTTATTATTTCTCTATAGACAAAAGTTATTGTCAGATCTTCTTGGAATTTATATTCAATGTTAGCATTAGTGACAGTTAATTGAATCAAAGTAATGGCCTCTGTTCTCAAAATCCTGCACTTGTCTTCAAAAAAATGAACAATGTTGTATAGCCTATTTAATATAGTATTTTGAAAACTATGTCACGTTTGATTTTGTTTCCAATTTTAACACCCTGTCCAACCATTCAACCTGACGAAGAGCGAGTCGTTTATATCAACATAATGGTCCCGAGTGCCCAATCACCAAATTGAGCACGCAGTAGTGATACCAGTTGACTTCATAATGATGGTTGCTATGTAGAAGTGTCAAAATTCTAAATAGAAATAAGAGGCAATAGATTTAAAATTTATGCTGAACAAATTGGATTATTCATTGTCTTAATTTTGAAATTACATGAATAGAAGTTAGAAATTAGACGATAGCCCATTACCAAATTTAGAATTTTGAATCTGATATACCGCCATATCGATCTGCATATTAGTAGCGAAATGAACAAGTCTTATCAAAGTCATCCTCGGTTACCCAGTGTACTCATTCCGTTCTACTCCACTATACCCAGGGTTAATCCATAGGGTTTCCACGATTTCAAATTATCTGCCCTGGCCTAGAATGTAGCTATAGTCTACGAACCAATCAGAAAACAGTTTACAAACGCCTTCGTTTTTATACGCCCACATTGAAATGTGGACGTATATTGCCGTCGCCCCCGTCCGTCCGTCTGTCCGTCTGTCGGTTCGTCGGTCCGCCCGTCCGTCCATCGTCCACAATTTCTTGTGAACGCTCTAACGCCAAAAGTTATCATCCGATCTTTCTGAAATTTACATGCATTATTTAAATTAGTGAAACGAGGAAGCCTATTGAATTTCAGCGATTTCCATTTATTACGTCTAAAGTTATAGCCCTTGTTTCACTTTATTGAACCTTGTGAACGCTCTAACGCCAAAAGTTATCATTCGTTCTTTGTGAAATTTATATGCATTATTAAGATTACTGAAACGAAGAAGCCTATTGAATTTCGGCAATTTCCGTTTATTACGTCTTAGAGTTATGACCCTTGTTTCACTTTATTGATCCTTGTGAACACTCTCACGTCAAAAGTTATCATCCAATCTTTCTGAAATTTATATGCATTATTTAGATTGCTGAAACAAAGAAGCCTATTGAATTTCAGCAATTCCCGTTTATTACGTCTAGAGTTATGGCCCTTGTTTCACTTTATTGATCCTTGTGAACGCTCTCACGTCAAAAGTTATCATCCGATCTTTCTGAAATTTATATGCATTATTTAGATTGCTGAAACGAAGAAGCCTATTGAATTTCAGCAATTCCCGTTTATTACGTCTAGAGTTATGGCCCTTGTTTCACTTTATTGATCCTTGTGAACGCTCTAACTTCAAAAGTTATCATCCGATCTTTCTGAAATTTATATGCATTATTTAGGTTACTGAAACGAAGAATCCTATTGAATTTCAGCAATTTCCGTTTATTACGTCTAGAGTTATGGCCCTTGTTTCACTTTATTGATCATTGTGAACGCTCCAACGCCAAAAGTTATCATTCGATCTTTGTGAAATTTATATGCATTATTTAGATTAGTGAAACGGAGAAGCCTATTGAATTTCAGCAATTTCCGTTTATTACGTCTAGAGTTATGACCCTTGTTTCACTTTATTGATCCTTGTGAATGCTCTAACGCAAAAAGTTATCACCCGATCTTTGTGAAATTTATATGCATGATTTAAATTAGTGCAACGAAAAAGCCTATTGAATTTCAGCAATTTACAATAATTACTTCTAGAATTATTGCTCTTGTTTCACTTTGTTAAACCTTGTTAATGCTCGATTGATAATAGTTATCATCCGATATGTATGAAATTTATATGCATCATTTAAATTTGTGAAACAGGTCTATTGAATTTCAGCAATTTCCGTCAATAATTTCTAGAGTTATGGCAATTGTGAACGTTTGAATGACAAATGTGATCTGTATGAAATTTATATGCATTATTTAAATTAATAAAACGAAAAAGCCTGTCAAATTTCAACAATTTCTGTAGATTACTTCCAGAGTTAAGACCCTTGTTTCAGTTTGTAGAACCTTGTAAACCCTCAAACGACAAAATTTATAATCTGATCTGTATGGAACTGTCTTGTAAAGGCTCCCAATTACCTACAAAGGAATAAATATGCGACAACCCTTGACGACCGCTCGGACGATTTAGCTGCTGTGGGCGTGTGTTTTGTTGCCTGGCAACCTATCTTTATAAGGGTAGATAACAATATTTATGTCCATTTACTGAATGATTTATGTAAATAATGTATATATTTTATAATTTATTTATATTTAATTGTATTATCAAAATCTGTAGTATGTGTTGTTGATTTCATGTATAACATCTATATGTTTGACTTTTGTTATTATTATTATTATTCGTTCTTTGTCTGAAATATGTCATTCTGTTATGTTTATTATTATTGAAATCATACTTGGCAATTTGATTCACAATAACTTGACTACGATATCACGTGGACATAAAATTCCAGGAACGAACGAACGATTCTAAATAAAACTAATGACCCTACATTATTATATCAACGTCTGGTCTTCGTTAACATAACATATGCTTGGTTGTTAATAATTACGCATTTAGAATAGGCCGACTCCTAACATTGTCCGATGAGAGTTACTTACCTTTGCCAACTTCCTTTTCAAATAACAATTTATGGGATTGGTCGATAAAAATAGCACAATCATCAAGGGCGGATAACTTGAAAACATGTCTCCCCCATAGATTAACCCAGGGTATAGTGGAGTAGCACGGAATGAGTACACTGGGTAACCGAGGATGTATCAAAGTTCAATAATTTCCATTAATTTCTTTTAGGATAATTATTGCCATTGCTCAAAATGGAGAAACTTGTGAATTAAACACACAGAAGTGATCATTTGATCAACTTTAGATTCACATTTTATTTGTGGACAAATTTTGATGAAACTTGAAATATCCCAAAGATCTTATTTCCTTTCAATATTGGAATGTATTAGACTATAACTGCATAGATTATGGCCCCTGATTGTACGAAAGATCACGTTTTAAGCCTGTGGACACTCTGAACATTTTTATCCGATTTTGATGAAACTTAAATGTAGGTTTATAATCCAAAGATTTTGGTTCCTTTCACAGTTGGCATATATCGGACAGTAACTTCCTGGATTATGGCCCTTTATTGTAAGAAAAACCACTTTTTTAGCTTGTTTTCTATCCATCTCTTGTGAAATGTGGGCATATCTTGCATGGCAACCGCTTTTTTAAAAACTATTAAATCCCTAGATGTAACAAAATATGTAGTATGTTTGTTTTTTTTCAGATTGATTTTAACAAATATTTGATTGATATTTGATATGTTACGGACAAATGTTAGAAGAATATTTAAAGAAAACAAATATATGTCCCACTCACAAGGAAGAGATATCACGCCTGGAGAGGAGAGGCTAAATAACATTCATCATAGAAACAACAATGTGACTGATATAGACGATGATGGCGCTACAAGTCCTACAATACAGTCACAGTATGATGAAGTGACAAATAATGTTTTTCTTCCATCAGGAGGTCAAGGTCGTTATGTACGAGTTATAGGTGAAGACCGTCCTGTATGGATCGCTAACAATGGCCCAGCACTGGAACCTATGGATGAAAGTGGAGACAATGAATCTGAAAGTGTTCCCAGATACAGTCAATCCATCATAATGCATCCATATAATATAGAACAAAACCGATACGAAACTTTTCGTTCCCAGTGGCCAAGGTCGGCACCTGTCACTCCTGACGAACTAGCTAAAGCAGGATTTAAATATATTGGACCAGGTGATCGGGTCAAATGTGTATTTTGTCACGGTATTCTCTCCAATTGGGTTCCTGGGGACCGTCCATTCGAGGAACATAAAAAACATTTTCCGAACTGTGTTTTTGTTTGTGGAATGAATGTGAACAATGTTCCATATAATCGTCATGTAGCTACAATACAGAGATCAATACCAGCTAGAATAGAATCAACATTAGTACGACCTGCTACAACGTCGTCTGCTCAAAGCCCTAAACATCCTCAATATCGTATTAAATCAGACCGTTTAGTAACTTTTAATGAATGGCCATCACAAATACGACAAAAACCTGAAGATATGGCTGATGCAGGACTTTTTTACCTGGGTAAGTCATATTGATTGATCAAACTATTGACTGATCAAGTAATCAATGCAGAGTCGGATATATTATCTTTAAACCGGAGACTCAGTACGAGGGCATGTCCATCAAATGGGCACAAAACCAGACCCAACTTTGGTAAATAATAGGGTGTTGACAATATTAGTATCAGTTGGTAAATGAATTGTTGACAATATTAGTATCAGTTGTTAATTAAATTGTTGACAATAGTATCAGTTGTTAAGTAAATTGTTGACAATAGTATCAGTTGTTAACTAAATTGTTGACAATGTTAGTTAGTATCAGTTGTTAACTAAATTGTTGACAATGTTAGTATCAGTTGGTAAATAAAATGTTGACAATGTTAGTATCCATTATTAAATAAAAGGGTATTGACAATATAAGTATCAATTGGTAAATAAATTATCATTACTACTAAACTTCATTTGAGTAATTTTCGATTTCTGTTCCAGAACGCCAATTATAATAGAAAATTTCCAATATCAATTATACTTTTGTCTTTTTTTCAAGGTCAAGGTGATAAAGTGAAATGTTATTTTTGTGATGGTATGTTACACACCTGGGATCCAGACGATGAACCCTGGATAGAACATGCGAAATGGTTTCCTCATTGTGAATATATTAAATTGATAAAAGGAGAAGATTTTATCAAGGGAGTACAAAATGGAGAAATAACCTCAGTTAAGACACAATCACAACAGGTATATCTTTAATCATATGTAAATGGTACTCATTGTGTAGTCTAAATATTGTCAAGAAAATTTCCACCTGGGTGCCTGACTCTGCAAAAGTTTGTGCTGCACAGAAAACTCAACTTGATCATTTTCCACCAGGTTGAAATTTTATATGAAACCAGATATAGTCTCGATTGATTATACCAATTTTATTATGTTTTAAGTATCAAGGTCCTAACTTGTGGTCTGGGTGACTGAAGCTACATGTTTCCCAGGCATTAATTATCTTATTTTATTCAATGTATTAACATACATACCATGTTATGTATAATTTTATTGTCATTCGTCTTTTGTTGAAGACAGCAGGGGACTATGTAAATGGCTTATTCTGTCTGACTGTCAATTATCTATTCAAATACATTGTCTGCGATATCACTTCTGTAGAAGCAGATGTTGAATAAAGCTATTTCACACTCCGTTGCGCTTTTTGTAAAACAATAACTCTGTCTCTAATTGAGATAGTATGTTCAAACTTGGTCTAGGTGTTTGTTAGGTGAATACCTTGACCGAGTTCAATGATGAGCATTTTTCTGTTTAGGCTAAACATAGATATGCAATTCCTTGATCAATACCATAACACTGCTTCTAATTGAGGTAGAATGATAAGCAATTTGATTTGGAACAAAATTGCTCTAGATTCTAATTGAGGGAGTAATTTCAAACATTTTATAGATGGTCATTAGGTGAATGTCTTGACTGATTCTAAGTAGAGATAAGCAGAATGATGCTTTGCACAAAGGTAAATGAGAATATCAGATTTGTTGTTGGCATTGGATATTTAAATGAATTAAATATTCAGATAGCATTCTAATAATGATTTTGAATATTTGAATAGTAAAATCAGCAATTGATGTCACCACTTAAATAATTACCAAATAGATTTAATATTTAATTTATTATATTTTATATTTAGAATGTGGCAGGAAGTGGCAGTTCAACTCGACGCAGAGGTACGTCTGTTGTTTAAATATAGATAGTATTTAATCACATGATTTAATAGTGCAACTATACGTTATTTTATCGTTCTGTAAAACACCACGTATAACCAACTGCCATATATAACCCACATCTAATTTTGATCTCTAGAATTTAGGAAAAATTTAAATTTTTTATGAATTTCAACAACTACACTCAAAGCCATTGAAAACGCAATGCCAAATTCAAAGTTTATTTACTGCAACTTTTAACAAATGTAGATAACAATTGACAAAATCGAGATAACTGTGGATAATTTCATGAAAAAATTCACTACAAATGCAGAAAACCGAAGTGTCAGAGAACCATGAAACAAAGCAGGGGTCAGCTGAAGTCAATATTGGGTATGTCCACCCTGAACTCTTACACATGCCTGAAGTCGCCTTGGCATGGACTGGCACAGATGTCTCACTATAAGCTGTGGGATTTTTTGCCAATGATTTTGGAGTGCCTGTGCAAACTCTGCAATGGAAGCAACACTGGACGAAGGATGGCGTCAACATAATGTTGAGTGTTGAGATTGCCTTGGACCACCACCAACTGGGACCGGAAGTTGACGTTGATAGAGGCCCAAACCATGACGCCACCTCCCCCGAAACGCTCCCTTTCCAGCACGCAGTTACGAGCAAAGCGTTCATGTTGACGTCAGTAGATATGGTGACGGCCATCAGGAAAACTGAGGTTGAATCGGGATTTATCAGAGAAGATGACATTTCCCTATGGTGTGTTGTTCAGATTCCCCTGATTGGCGGCCCATTGATATCTGGCAAGTCGATTACGATGCAAAAGGATTTGACCTTGGTAAGGTAGACAGCAGTGTAACCCAAGAGCAGCCAGACGCCTTCGGACTGTTTGAAGGCTGATCTGACGTTGCCGTGTTACAACAGTTCCTCTGTCAGTAGCAGTAGCTGACTTGAACCTGTTGCTCAGATGCTGTAGTCGGATGTGACGATCTTGAGCAGCGGTTGTTACAGGTGGCGCTCCAGGTTGGGGTCGATCAGCAACTCATCCAGTGGTGTGGAAGCGTTGTCTGAGGAGAGCAATGGTCGATGGGTGGACATTAAAGTGTCTGGTGACGGCTGCCTGTAAAGCCCCCTGATCCAGCATGCCAATAGCTCTGTTCCTATTTTCTTGTGTAAGACGTGGCATTTTTCCGAAGTAATGAATGTTGAAATTTTGATCTGTATTTAAAGGGCCAGAGTGCTGGGAATGCACGTGCAAAATGTGTGACATAGGACTGCTTAAAATCGCGAAAAAAGACAAGTGTTGCGTTTGCATGAACAAAGTTCATTGCCGAGAACTGATATTGGGTTCAAACCCAGAATTCCACATAAAGAGACTCATCACAGGTTTCACCTATGTGCCATAAGTAGGAAAACCCAAGAAAATGTTTACCAGAAATATTTCACGAATTAGGCATTGCGTTTTTAATGGCTTTGAGTGTATATTTATTCGTATATCATGGTTTGAATTAAACAGTCAGCAACACTCAATAAGAAATCAACTATTTACAGCACATGTTTTGAACAAGGTCATCAATCTTTTCTTTGTATTGAAAGTGGTGGAAAAATATTATCTTAGAACATCATACTAGAATGGCAAATGGGATACTCTAATAAAACATTTTGAAAATGAAATTTGCACAGATGATATTAACTAGTCACTGCACAAAAATACAAATATTTTTAAAGTAAATGTAATTTGTTTCTTTGCATCATGATATTTATGTGTAGTTCATTAATTATTAGATTTGGAAAAGGAACCAGCAATACGGGCTGTTTTAGAGGATGGAAATACTATGGAACAAATCTTAAATGCTCTTGTTAAACTAGGGATACATTCAGATTCTGATACAGGTATAACCTTAATATATTCTATTAAAATATTCACTAATGTAATAAGGTTAAAATCAGATACAGCTATTAGTTTTTATACACCCACATTGAAATGTGGATGCTCTAGAGGCTAAAGTTAATATCCGATTGACTTTAAATTTATATACAGTGTTTAAGGCCATGAGACGAATAAGCCTATTGATTTTCAGCGATTTCCAATAATTACTGCCAGAGTTATGGCCCTTGATCACTTTGAAAAATCTTGTGGACGCACTAGAGGCTAAAGTTAATATCTGCTAAAGTTAATATCCGATTGACTTTAAATTTATACACAGTGTTTAAGGTCATGAGACGTAAAATTCTATTCATTTTCGATAATTACTACCAGAGTTATGGCCCTTGATCACTTCAAAATATCTTGTGGATGCTCTAGAGGCTAAGGTTAATATCCGATTGACTTTAAATTTATACACACTGTTTGAGGTCATAAGACGAAGTATCCTATTGATTTTCAACGATTTCTGATAATTACTGCCAAAGTTATGGTCCTTGATCACTTTGAAAAACTTGTTTACACTCTAGAGGCTAAAGTTATCATCCGATTGACTTCAGATTGATACACAGAGTTTAAGATCTTGAGACGAACAAGTATATTGATTTTCAATGAATTTTTATGACTTGAACAGCTAAATCCATGATATTAAAAGTTTCGTATACTAAATGTTAGCATGTGGCAGAACCTTATAAAAACCACATAAATTCTAATGGTTTTCTGATAATTACTTCATGAGTTGTTACTCTTAATCAGATTTTAGTGTATTATAAATGTTTCATTTCCCAAAAAAGTAAAAATATGCGACAACACTTGTTGACTGCCTGGACGATTTTGCTGCTGTGGGCGTATGTTTAGTTGCCTGGCAACCTATCTTTCATTGATTGAATTGTATTAACATTTGAAGAAAGAAATCCTCATTTTATGTTACATTATAGAACTACCTAATGCTGAAACCATCTTAAGAAAGATTATGCAAATAGAAGATAGGAAGAAAAATGAGAGAATGGATTCAATAAATTCACAAGATGATGAAGGTATGTAGATTTCAAGTCATTTACTAGTAGTAGTAGTAGTATGTAATTAGAGAGGTTGGTTATGGTAGTATGTATAGTGCCTTGTGCAATAGTGGAGCATGTATGGCCACATCTTCAAGGCTTTTACGTAATACTCTACATTTTTTGTCGCTAATTTTGATTGGTCTAGAAAATATCATAAACTTATGTACTGGTATTCCTTTTTTATACGCCCACATGGAAATGTGGTTGTATATTAAGAAGTCTGTTGAATTTCATCAATTTCTGTTAATTACCTCTAGAGTTATGACCCTTGTTTCACTATTTTGAACCCTGTGAATGCCAAAAGTTATTATCCGATCTGTATGAAATTGATTTGCATTATTTAAATAAGCGAAACGAAGAAGCCTATTGAATTTAAGCAATTTCTATTGATTATGTCTAGAGTTATGACCCTTGTTTCACTTTGTTGAACCTTGTGAAAGCTGAAACGACAAAAGTTAGTATTCGATATGTATGAAATTTATATTCCTTATTTAAATTAGTGAAACAAAGAATCCTAGTGAATTTCAACAAATTTCAGTTTGTAGAACCTTGTGAACCCTCAAAGGACGAAAATTATAATCTGATTTGCATGAAATTTGAAATTTTCTTATAAATGCCCCCCATTACTTACAAAAGATTAAATATGTGACAACTGCAGCCTGGACAACATTATTGTTTACATGTCTGTGATAAAGACAGATAACATGCCTAAATGTTCGATAATTTCAGACTATTCTAGCACCAACTAGATTTTGCAAAAGTCACGTTCTTTGCTTTAGGAACGTGGTATAGCCCATACTACAGTCTTTACTTTCTGATTGGCTGTAACTTTTAACAGAAAGTATAAAGATGCTGTACATAAACAGATGACAATACATTGTAAATGGGAATAACAAACATGCATGGAGTTAATTTAGAGGATTTAGAAGATATAATTTTAGATAAAGAAGAGGTTTCTGTTGCTTGTTGTTTGAGGGTAGTACCCTGAACTCTAATTCAGGTGCAAGTGATTATTCAATTATAGATTGACAACTTGCAACACATTTGAAATAGAACCAATGATTAAACTTTAGTTTCATTTGAAGGAAATCATTTTTTGGGGTTATGTTTTCAGAATACTCATCGTTGGTCGAAGAAAACAGAAATTTAAAAGAACAGAGATTGTGTAAAATATGTTTAGAAAAAGAAGTCAGTATAATATTTTTACCCTGTGGACATGTTTGCTGTTGTGGAGAGTGCTCATTGTCAGTTCAGCTATGTCCTATTTGTCGAAAAGAAATAGAGATGAGAAACAAAGCTTTTTTATCTTAAGCAAAAATTGAAGCAAACTTTTAGGGTTATTTGAAATACAATATATGATATTAGTTACATTTATTTTCTTCTTGAAATTTCCATCACCTCTTTATTTTAGTGAAGTATGCAAATAAGTGTATTATATGGATTGTTTAAGATAATATATTAATATTGTATTTTAGATGTATATTTCTTTAACCTAACAAGTGGAATGTTTTGACTTATGTTTTGATACATGTTACCTAGTGTAGGGTACTAACTGTTGTTTATTAATTAGTAGCAGGATACCCGGCTTCCCCCGGAGCCTAAATTCACATGCTGCCCAAATTCACATGGTACCCAAATTCGCACGGTGCCCAAATTTGCCTGGAGCCAAAATTCACCTGGGGCCCACATTCACCTGGGGCCCAGATTTGCAGGAGGCCCAAATTTGCCCTGAACTCAGTTTGCCCGGGACCCAAATTAGATAGCCTAAAACATTCACTGGGTCATGCTGGTTAATTTTATACGAGGCTACATGTGTAGGGGTGGAGCACGGCGACAAAACCTGATTCGTCTGGGGCCCAAATTCTATGGGCTAAATCATTTATAGGGTCATTCTGGTTAATTTGATGCCACGTATATGTAGGGGGTGGAGAGTAGCGACGAAGCGTGGCCATACACACATACATACATCTTTTTTTAAATTTATATATATGATAAGAAAACAAATTGTAATTTAATTGAAACCAGATGTCATTGACATTGCTATATTTTATTAGAAGTTGTGCAGATCCTGTGAACATATTAACCTATGGATTCAGTTTATAGGAATTTTACAGCGCCAGGCATATAAGAGGTGTTTTGTATTTATATAGTATCACTGGTTGATAGTAATGTCACTGCCAGAACATTGCTGTGCTAGAAAATATGTTAGATTACATAAATACAGAACATGAAAATGTAATCTAGAATAATTATGTATCATGAGACAAAAGTGCTTAGTGTGCTGAATCTGACCAACTTCATTCTAGATGAATGTCACATTGTAGCACTATCTATCTATGTAACTTTACACTTGTAACTCAGCATTTAGTTATAGAGTACCTGACAAGCAATGACACACCCTATAAACATTGATTTCAACAAACAGAGAGTGCTTGTTCATACAGTTAAGCTGCCAGATACTTCTTTCAATGATAATTTTCTTGAAATTCGGGAATGCATCAGTTTGGCTACAGTATGCATGAATTTCCTAAATTTGATTATCAGATTTCATGAATTATTCCTTTTATAGATATTTTATTATCTTACTGCTTAAATTTATGACCCTTACACAATATATTAAAGCTAGCAATTTTATAAAGCCTTCTTTTCCTCACTGTCTCTTAATCTATTTAGTATCCATTTGTGCTCAAAACAAGTATTAACAATGTCAAGGCTTTTTCCCCTTGTAAACTCACAATTACGTGTGTTATTTTTTATGTGTCATTGTTTTTAAAACCCACAATAGATGTTATGTTTTTGTGTAATTAGTTTTTATACACCCACATGGAAATGTGGTTGTATATTGTCGTCACCCCTGTATGTATGTCTGTAAGTCCGTAGTCCACAATTTCTTGTGAACACTCTGCAGACTGCATTTATCATTTGATTGTTTTGAAATTGATATAAATGTTGTTTACATTAATGAAATGAAGAATCATATTTAATTTCAATAATTTCTGTTAATTTCTTCTGGAGTTATTGTGGATTGTTTTGTGATCTGTATGAAATTTATATGTATCATTTAAATCCGTGAAACAAAGAAGCCTATTGAATTTCAGCAATTTCCGTTAATTACATCTCGAGTTATGGCTCTTGTTGAACCTTGTGAACACTTTTAAGGACAAAAGTTAACATTCGATCTGTATGAACTTTATATCCATCATTTAACGAAGAAGCCTATTGAATTTCTGTTAATTACTTCTAGATTTATGGCCATTGTTTCACTTTGTTGCACCTTGTGGACGCTTGATCGACAAAAATTATCTTCCGATATGTATGAAATTTATATGCATCATTTCAATTAGTGAACAAAGAAGCTTGTTGAATTTCAGCAATTCTAGAACTATGGTCCTTGTTTAACTCTGTGGAACCTTGTGAACGCTCGAACAACAAAAGTTATCATCTGATCTGTATGAAATTTATATGCATCATTTCAATTAGTGAAACGAAGAAGCAATTGAGTTTCAGCAATTTCTGTTAATTACTTCTAGAGTTATGACCCTTGTTTCACTTTGTTGGACCTTGTGATTACTTGATTGGCAAAAGTTATCATCTGATCTGTATGAAATTCATATGTGTCATTCGAATTGGTGAAATGAAGACGCTGGTGGAATTTCAGCAATTTCCAGTAATTACTTCTAGAGTTACGTTGAACCTTGTGAACACTCGAACATCAAAAGTCATCATCCGATCCATACGAAATTTATATACATCATTTAAATTGTTGAAATGAAGAATCTGATTGAATTTCAGCAATTTCCTTAATTATTTCTAGGATTATTGCCCTTGTTTCACTGTGTTGGACCTTGTGAATTCTCAAATGACAACAGTCGTCATCCAGTCTGCATGAAATTTATATGTGTCATTTAAATTAGTGAACGAAGAAGTTTTTTTGAATTTCATATATTTCCGTCAATTACCTCTAGAGTTATATGGCCCTTGTTATACTTTGTTGAACACTGTGATTGGTCGACCAACAAAAGTTAGTATTGGATCTGTATGAAAGTTATATGCATTATTTCAATTAGTTAAACGACTTTCAACAGTTTCTGTAAATTTCTTGCAGAGTTAAGGCCCTTGTTTCAGTTTGTAGAACCTTGAGAACCCTCAAATGACGAAAATTATAATCTGATCTGTATGAAATTGTTTTGTAAATTTCCTCAATTACCTACAAAGGAATAAATATGCGACAACCTTTGTTGACAGCTCGAACGATTTAGCTGCTGTGAGCATTTTTTTTTTTGCCTGGCAACCTATCTGTTATATTATTGGTAGATACTTACAGTGCTGGTCATTTTATTTTTTATAGGCTAACATTGATCGCGTAGTCCTAAGGAAGAATCTCTTCAAAATTCAAAGTTACACATTGATTTTGCGAAAAGCCTAAACACTACACTTAAGATTTTGGGGGATTTTTGTCAAACTTGCTAGGATTGTTTATTTAGTCCTGATATTCAGTGTTTTGCTACAGTTTTTTTTACAGAGCTATTTACTCTTTCACTGAGAACTTTAATACTCTGTAGACGTGAAAGTTTGAGAAACAAAAGAATTGACTTGCCTAGCAATTTTACACATGTTTATTGCCCCTGAGAACTTGAAAGCCACCCTTCAAAATTCTGCCTGTGTTGAATGGCAATACCATATTGTTGTTTGTTTTTTTTTTTAAAAAAGCAACATAAGGTTGTTGTTGTCATCGGAAACAATTTAATGGTTTTACCCTAAGAGTTCTTTAAGATAAGTTTTATAGAATTAGAAATGTAACTATGTAACTTTGAATAACAGGAATAAAGGTAGTACTGAATGAGCATCAAGGTAAGGTTAAATATAAATTTTATTCCAAACACAATTTTGTGGAATACCTTCAAAGTGTACTTTGTTTATGTGTACATTCACAATAATAAATTAGAGCACAGGGAAAATAGAGACAAAACATATGTACTTATACATGTTCTTCAAAAAAAAAAATGAAATAAATTCATTACAGACCAACGTGCCCATATCAGTATGGGCGACCCATAAAGCTGAGTGACATTGGTTGGGCTTGCCCTCCCCCCCCCCCGCGCTAGCTATGGGCCTAAGTAAGTTTATCCATGTGTATTTCAAATATAATGTAAACAATATATTAGTGTATATAGATTTAGTCGGAACACGCTTGATATGAATTTCTTAACAATATTGGAGTGATGTTTATTGTAGTCTTGATATTCCAGGTCTCTTGTTCAGCCAGCGAGAGATTGAAACAACTGATAAATTAAATTTGAATTCGTGCTTTGGGAGAGTTACAGCATGGATCAGTCGCAACAATTGGACGATTTCTATTGGACTTAATATCAAATCTTATCAGACTATTATGATGACAGTTAAAAGAATGGTTTATCTAGACTATTTTATTCATATCACTATATTGTTAATATTCATTTAAATAATCATTAACGGTCATATAATAATATTTTTACTGATATTAATAAATCTGAGATATTTTAAATATTTATAATTTGTTTTTGTAGCACTCTTTATTGCTATTTAACAGAGTTTTCTCTACCAAAATTTGTTCAAACATATTTCATTGCATGGACAATATATTGTACCGAGTACATATAAAAGGATTAGACAGACGTTATAACAACTTAAAGATTTTCTCTGTTAAAGATACATTATGGGAGGTTATGGCAGTTCTCACTATAATAGTTAAAAACTAGATAATGTAAAGGGAATTTGATGAAAATTTCAGTCAAATTCATACCCTGAACCGAGATTTTAGCCATTGAATTTTCGGCCTAGCCTCGATCATCGTTACTAAAAAACATAGTCTCAATTATCCATTTCATGATAAAATCGGGAATGGAAGTCGAACAGCAAATCGGAGCCTAATCCAATAAACATCGCAGGCTAGCGATGAAATCGAGAGTTGATTACGGTCTGGATAAGTTAATTAATGTCTAATTAATAATTTAGATAATATTTCAGGCCTAAAGAAAGATCTGCAATAAGCAGAGTTAGCTCTAGCTTAATGTATGTTTAATATAAAGATTTTAGTGTACTATAATAAACTACATGTATATTTACTTGTATGTACATGGTTTTTAAACTGTTATTTATTATTGGCAGCATACCTATACATAAGCATACAATTATGGTTTTATTGGTAGAATGTTAGCTTCGTTAAGTTTTATATTATGGTTGTGATATATGTTACTGCATGCACTGAATAACTGTAAAACAAGATACGAAGTAAATATCAGGAAGAAGATCATATGCTAGTTGTATTTATTTCCATATACATCTTCTTTGTTTTCTAACAGTAAATAGAATACAGAGTAGTTTTCTTGTATATCAATGATATTATGAAACACCCCTCACAACAGTTGATAACATTATAATGATGTCACTAATAATATAAGGTAAATGAGGTTTAATTTGTATGTTAATACAATAATAATCTCAAAACACATTTATTTACACCCCTTCAGGTCACATCAAATTTTATGACCGTTAATTTCATTGCTAACAGAACACTAGTCTCGGTCACCCAGAACCTCCTAGTCTTCAACATACGGAGGGTCTGGGAAGGTTGTCAATATTTGACGTAAAGTCCATTGCCCATGCGTAACCGGGAGTTTGGTTTTTAATGTGGTTGATTATCCAGTCTCTTTAGCCAAGTCAAGTAAGAGTTGCGCCCCTTCCCACAATAAATAGAGGATGCAATCAAATGGATTTTTTGAAATGACATTCTTAAATTAACATGGGCGTAAACATCTTGTTTTAAGAGGAGTTACCTCCCTTAGACATTGTTTACAATAATGTGAAAGACCGGATTATCTAGCCAATTTTTCTCAAATGTTGACAACCTGTCCAGACTAATATTCGTAGAATATTTTTCTGGATGATAGACTAACAGAACACCTCCAGTTTACTATTATATTGATGTAGCCTTTCTTCTAGTCGTCAATTAATGATAATTTATTAATAGTATACTAATGATTACCTAACTATAGTTTAGCAAGGGGATCACATTGGACCACACCTCCATTTTGCTATATTGATATTGAAATAGCATTTCGTCTGGGCATTAATTAATGATTGTAAGAAGATTAATAGTTATTATCTAATTATAGTGTAGCCGGAGGATTGTTTTTGCTATTCATATAGCATTTCATCTGGACATTAATTAATTACTATAAGATGACATATATGGGCATTAATTAATGATCGTAAGAAGATTAATAATTATTATCTAATTATAGTGTAGCCGGAGGATTGTTTTTGCTATTCATATAGCATTTCTTCTGGACATTAATTAATTACTATAAGATGACATTATAATTTTTACCTAATTATAGCACAGTGTATACATGTAACTTATTGTATAACCGATTTAAATATTTAATTGTTTTAATAAAGATAGGCCAGGGTCTAGTAATCTTTAAATCCTAATAAATAGTTGATGTGGAATATTGTTTTATTATACACCCACATTTGGTCATATATTGCAGTTATCGGTATGTGTTCAACATTTCTTGCTTGCACTCCCGAGACTACTTTAATCCATATATCTTTTAAAATTATTGATATGGGTTACCTATGCCATTAAAATGAAGCGGCCTATTAATTTTCAACATTTTTCAATATTCACCACCCAGAGTTACGTCCCTCGGTGACAAAATCAATTGTGATTGTGGCCGAAGAGCAAATACAAATTATTTTTGTTAATTTACTCATAAAATATTTTATTTGCACTAAACATTGACAGATTTTGAGCCAAGATTGAATGGTGTGGAAAATGGGGTTTTGTTGATGTTTCTTGATAAATTCAAAAGCAATCTTCAGTCATTATATTCATCTGCCGGGTGAACAACCTAAATATTTTGTGGCTCACATTAGAATTAGGAATGATATTGTTATTGTTATTACTATGTTTGCAAACCTGTTTAAATAAATGATCTAATATGATGGTAATATTCGACTTCCAGAGATAAGGATACTGGAACCTTACTTATACGGATGATGAATTTCAATTACACAAAGCTTGAGGAGAGATTGATTAAATAATTTTGTTGTTTATAAAATTTAGGTGTGTTTATAGACAACAAATATATAAACTTTATATACTCTTCTTCTGGGTTGGGACCTCTTTTGAAAAGCTATATATTTCTGGAACACAAAGACTTAGCCTGATTAGATTAAACAACCAGCGGTTGCCAGGCAAGATATGCCCACATTTTGCAAGAGATGGACAGAGAACAAGATAAAAACAAAAGCATTTTTTCGTACAATCAGGGGACATAATCCAGAATTTATGGTCTATAATGAGCAAATATCGAAAGGGACTTAAAAGATATTTGTTAAGTTTCATTAAAATCGGATAAAAATTGTGACCTGTAGAGGGTCCACAACCTTCGTATTACATACTATTACACAATTTGCGTACAAAGAGCGGCCATTTTGTCGGGCAGTTAGTTTCTATTATGGTGGAATAGTGATATATTTAAATTGTTTTTTAAATCGGATAAAAATTGTGACCCATAGAGAATCCACAAGCTAAAAAAACACGATTTTTCGTACAACCAGGGGCCATAATTCAGGATGTTAAAAAGACAATTTTTTCCTTAATTTTTTTCTCCCCTCTTCCTGCATTTTTGGGTTGAAATTTTGGTCTAGAATTTGAGAAAAGGTATCAAATTTGCAATTTCATAGCAGTTTTGGGTAATAATGATGATATTACAGCGGAGGGATAGGGGGTGTAAAATGTCTTTCTGCAGAGCAATCATTCTGTCGGAAGTGAGATTTTCACCCAGTATACATCAAATCCCCGTAGCAAAAAATCTAAACGGTCAACCCACTACAAAATTATGATGAGGATATTGCCAAATGTGGTCCCCATTGTGCCTATAAAGATTGGAACCAACGGAATGTTGAGCAAAAAGCTACAGCCTGTGATGTTACAGCCATTTAACATTGAAGTCAGTGGGTAAATAATTACTAGTCTGAGTCCATCTACGCGAATATCGAAAGGCAAGCTGATTAAAATACAGATCTATATTTCATTTCGTTTTTTATACTTTCGATAAGTAAAACGAAGTTTTGAACTATAAAAACGAAATAAAATAGGATCTGTGCTTTAATCAGATTGATCGAAATGAACCAAGTTTCGTCAAAATCGGATCAAAATTGTGGCCTCTATACAGAACCTTGATATACCATCATTTAGTCCAGCAGTTTTAGTCCGATTTTCACGAAATACGAACTCAACCATCATTAGGGTTTATGGTGATGAATTAAAATGTTTGGGTTTGTTTTAAATCTGATAAAAATTGTGATCTCTAGAGGGACCACAAGCTAAAAAAACATGATTTTTCGTACAATCAAGGGCCATAATTCAGGACGTTATATCCGATCCGATATTCGCGAATATCGAAAAGAACAAAGTTCTTTGGATAAACATGTATACTCTTCAAAAAAAAGTAGGGGATATTCAGAAACAATACAAAACTGCGGAAATGCACTGCTGTTTTTATTACAGGTAACCAGTGTATGTTAATAACAGGCCAATTGCCTACACATCGGCAATACTATATACCGGAAAACTACCGGAAAACACCATGTTATACTGAATAACGGAAAACACACTAAATACCGGGAAAACACACTAAATAGGTAACAAAGAGCCTGGTCCTCTGTTTGCGGGGAGTTAGGGCTAGGGTTAGGTTTTTCCGGTGGGTTAGGGTTAGGTTTTTCCGGTGTTTTTCAGAGGACCAGACTCCGAGTTACCTATTTAGGATATTTTCTGGTATTTAGTGGTTTTCCGGTATTCAGTATAACATGGTGTTTTCCGGTAATTTCCCGGCTGTTTTCCGGTGTTTTCCGGTATATAGTATAGCCCCCTACACATGAACATATACAGTTATTATTATTATTATTATTATTATTATTGTTCGATTTATATAGCGCTTCATTACACATGAGTGTTTCTAAGCGCATTCACAACAAAACAGTTCAAAAACATTTTTGAAATAAGTATGTTTTTAAGTTAGTCTTAAAGCTCTGGATGGAAGAGGACTCTCTAAGAGTTTTTGGAAGATCATTCCACAGTTCATATGGGCGGCTTATCTGACGGTCCCATTTCACTCGCAAAGAGATACACCGTCAAAAGTGAAAATGGACGTTTTTGATTTTTGTCTTAATAATGAGTAATTGCTCCACCAATTCTCAGACATTCAGCAATTCGTCGTGGCATGCTCCTTATCAACCGTCCAATCACGATTTGGGGCAATCTGACCCACTCCTCTTGCAGTTCCACGGCCAATTCTTGCAGTGTTGTCCGTTGACGTTGACGTCGACGAACACGTCTCCCGATCAAATTAAACGTAACACACTAAAAAAGCAAAGATACGCTAAACAGAACAGTAAAGCTTATGCAAGAACCGATAGGAAAGCAAACATGGATAGATAAACCAGCACACGGCAGTTTTCATCAACAGTGCAGCTCAGTGGTTCTGTTGGGGCGATAAGTTCTTCATCTGTGAACATACTCTCAATGCATGTCAAACGTCCATGACTATTTATCATATCGCAACCCGCATAGGTATTTGCATTTCAATATCCCCCACTTTTTTGAAGAGTATATTTAAAGTTTCATCAAAATCGGATCAAAATTGTCACCTCTAGAGAGTCCATAACCTTGATATACCATATTTTTTTACACTATTTGCGTACGATCAGGGGCGGTCATTTTGTCCAACAGTTTTGGTCCGATTTTCACGAAATTCTAACTCAACGGTGATATATTCAAACGTTTTTTTAAATCGGATAATAATTGTGACCTCTATAGAGGGACCACAAGCCGAAAACGCGATTTTTCGTACAATCAGAATTAGGGACCATAATTCAGGAAGTTGCATTCCGATATATGCCAATATCGAAAGGAACCAAGATATTTGGGTTATAAACAGGCATATCAAGTTTCGTCAAAATCGGATGAAAATTGTGACCTCAAATTATTTCTTGACAAGAGGGGTGGGTTATAGTGTTATAAATGGTTCCACTACAGATGTCTTCCGTCTTGCTACAACCACAGAAGTGGACCGTCCTAAGGCCTTCCTTTGAGCAAGTTTTGTAGTCATTTGACTACAAAAAAGTTACTGGCCTATAACACCAGTAATTTCCAATTACACTAACTCCAAACTGTACTGTACATAGCTTAACATATAATAAACCAATTTCCATGGAAATAAAGGTGAAACCTTACTGTAT